CGATGGAGTTTTTTTTTATGGTTGTACAGTAACTGCAACCTTTTCAAGGGTGTAGAACCATTGAACAGTTCCAGCCTGAACCATCACTTTTTACAGCGTATCAGTTTCGGTGCCTTAGACTTACTCTCACCTCTTACCAGTTGAACATTTTATTGTCATTCACAATCTCAAAGAAGCTGAAATGTGACATTAGAATCGACTTCAGCATGACACAACTGATTCTTAACTGGCACCAATCGTTTCAACATTTTCCATTGTAATGGAATTCTAGGGAAAACGATTGTGAAGTAACCGCACATTCTCGAGAGCTACTCAAAACCAATTTTTTTTGCATATAGATCATCACAGTGCCAACACAGCACCAAATGGCATGAATTGATGGAGCGCTTCCCATACATAAATACAGTTGGTCATGCACATTTTGACATTGATTGGAACCCAAGAGCCATCTACTGTCGATAGTGTGAACTTTTGGCACTTCCCCAATCGGAGGGCGCTTGTTTCAGGCTTTCCCACAGTACATAAGGATTCGTCAGAGAAGTTCTTGGCCGTCGTTGGAGTACAACTGCTCCAGATATCTCTCCTCTGTCTCTTATCCATCAGCTGCAGCCCTCAAGAGGCTTACCAATCCTTCATGAGATCCCTGCTCATTCCAATGAGTGACCTGACCCAATAAATCTCTTAACCCTTTCGGTACGGAGTTTTCTATGCATGGCCGTACATCCCGGTCGGTATTTTCTGGGGTGCGCTCAATGTTTAAGCAACAAATTGGGCGTATGAGATGAAGTACCTTCGAGTGTGAGCGGTTCAAAGTTGCATCCACCTTGGTAGTGCTTTAGGGTGCGGTATTCTCGGAAGCAAGAGTCGACACCGAGAGCCTTATTGCCTCAGAGTCACTATGGTTTATTAACTCTTCTATTTCGTTCTTTCCAGCACGCAATCGATCACTCCTGGGTCCAGCCATGTTGCTCACTTACAGCTTGGATCTCAGTTTTCCCTATATTCATCATTTAGCCTTTAGGTACTGACTTTTTGTGGTCATTATCCGCACTCACAGACTGTTAGTCTTCGAAAAATGTGAAATCGTGGGTATTCTGTTACTAAAAAATAATAAAACATACAAATTTAACATTCTTGTTTATTCAAACTATGTTGAAACGATGCCTATTGGTCGAAAAAATAGGCTTTGAAAAATTCTAGAAAAAGTTTTAAATTACTGCTGACAGATGGCAGCACGTCAACTAAAAGTTATATTTCAGTCGCCTATATGCGACGGTAGCACTAGGCGCCAGAAACTGAAGACGCGTATACGCGACAACTGTCAAAAAGGCACAACCCATTAGAAACGCGTATACGTGTTCACAGTACTTAAAGGATTAAGTTGGGCCAAGAAATGCCAAGATTTGAGCCTATTTTGCCAGCCCTCCTCTATCCTATCTTTGGACTTCATATAATGTGAGAATCCTGCATGTTTAACCATAGGTTTAGATTGACTGATTTTAACTAGGCAGAGACCTACTCCTAGCCTCATTTCATGTCATTCTGTCGTGACTTGGTCCTATTTTACAGTCGGTAAGGCCTAGCCTTGTATTCCAATGTTATGTGCAAACTATTAAAACCTAAAGCTCATAGGCGTAGACCTTTTTTGGTTCACTTGTTATTCTTGTGTTAAGGTTCCTGGGGGTAATGTAAATTGATGCCTACGTATATTCTTGACCCAGCTTAAGTGTAGGCCTAGGTTTACAATGTGCTGAAGGCAGCGAAGTGGCTCAAAAATAATAGTAGGTTGGTGCACATTACATACCCTGCACCTTGGGAGGCTTTCATTTTGTCCCTTTAAATGAAAGGCAGGGATTCTCAGGTTCAGTGATTTTTAAATCTCAATTTGCCCTTTGCTAGTAGTACTACGCATGTGGTTGAGCCTATCTACATCGTAACTGAGCATGATTCCTACTTTTCACATTGTGTTGCTTTCTATGGAGACTTGAGGGACTGAAGCCGGATGGTCAGCTTCTTTTGATAAGACTGGGATGAATTTGTCCCTTTGAATTAACCACTTTTGAAGACCTCTTCAGCGAAGCTGGGCACTTTCCATTAATGTCATTTAATGTTAGTGGGAGTCTCTTGTCTATTTAATAAAAGGGTGATTCTTTCAATTCACTTGTTTTTGATTTCAGGAATGAAAAGGGGGAAAAAAAGAAGAGAAATCATGTGTAGGGTGAAGCCTTCTGATGTACGCTTAGGTCTTCGACTTTTCAATTGCATTTTAATACAGGTAGCCCCACAACTTCTTGAATTTTATTTTTCGGTTTAGATGATGCACCTCATAACAATATTCAACCAAGGGATATTATAATATTCTGGCATGTGGTTGAGACTTTCCTTATATGACTCTTATATTGCCAACCATCAAAGTTAGTAAACCGTTTTTTGAGAATTTGGAGAAAGACAGAAAGGAAATCAAACAAGGAATGCCTTCTACTTAAAGGAGCTCCAATTGAACTTAAACATGTTCAGGAATTGAGAAACCAGAGAAGCTGCATCTGTTAGACTGGTCTATTTTTTGGGTTAGTTCTCTTTGACTAAGAATTTGTTCTCATCCCAAACCAGCATCCTCATCAAATAAGATCACTAAAAAATCTGTAACAATCAATACTGTTACCTTTTAATAGGCTTGGTAATATTCCAAGTTGCACGTATACTTCTTTGAAGATTTTGGACCATATTCAAGTTCTAATGTGTCTTATTTGAATCTTTTCAATTTTTTTTCCACTTGATTCTCAGAAGTATGAAATGGGATCAGAAATATAACAGTTTTATTTGCAAGTGAATGTTGAATACACACTCTCTCAGAAGAAAAATAAAATTTCGTTTCAATCCATTGTCTCAGCTGGCTTTTGAAGTTCCTCCATTCCTGTGGCATCTGCAAACTACACTGCTTGCAGTCATATATAGATGGATTAGCGCTATAGAGAAACGACTTTGACAACGTCGTTTCTCCCAGGGCTTCGTCAAATTTACGGACAGTGTTTACTACTGTTCACGTTCGAAATTAAGGACTGGATTATCTTCATTCGATGAAGACGACACCGTTAAATTCTAGCTGCATTGAATATTTGGGGAACTAGCAAGAAGTGAGATCCGAGGACGTTATCGCTTCTCTGAGATGCCATTGTATGCTTTCGAATGCTTCTTCCATGTGTTTTTCCACAGTTTAACCATATGAATACCGGTGGAGGGCATAAAAGCCCTACCCGTAATTTTCTTCTTTTGCTTGAGGAAATCGCTTTGTCTTCATTTTCACATTCTCTTGAAAAAAGTAAAGGATGCGAAATTGCCTGAGAGCATATTCTCTCATAATCACATGAGAAGGGGTTCAATCACCTCATCATGTACCGTAGACACCAGATAACGTAGCGATAAGGAAACCTCTTTTCAAACGCAGGGTGTCCCAAAAAAAGTAACGTCACAGGAATTTCTTTTTCTCATTATATATCAATACAATATTAAAAACCTTTAAGCTATTAACGGGAAAAAAGAGCCAACTTTCTATTGCTGACAGCTGCATAAACATAAACAAGTCCTGAATCAATATATTAAAAGCCACAGCTAAATCCTCGCTACGGCCCATTGCCTTGTCGAGGATCCAGCGATGCAAGGAATCGAATGCGATTCATGACTGGTCCGGCCGAAGGACACAATTGTGCACTGCGCTGCTGGTTGTTGTGCTTCCATCAGAAAATTCGCACGGAAGTATCAAAAATCAGCACAAAAAGAACTTTGTCATTTAACATCTTGTAAAGTGCCAGAAGGTGTGCTGAGGTCATGAAGAAGCATACCTTAACAAGTCCTTCAGGAACATAGTGTTAACGAATACGAGTCTAATTTTCATACTCCCGTATCTAGCTTTTATTTTTTTTTATAGAAAAAAGCTGAATCTTTACCTTATTAACTGCTTGATAAATTTGTTTCTTTCCGTACTGGATAGTAGGAAAAAATCTAATATGGCAGATAGTGGCAGGTTCAAAATTTTGAGACAGCCTGTATTTGGAAGAAGGGAAAGGAAAAAATTCGCATTCTCGCATCTACTAGCATGGTGGTTTATTATTGACCTGAAGTTTACATTTATTGATGTAAGTCTTGCCTAGGATTGGGATTGTCATGGAAGAATTCGGTATCAAAATTATGAATAAAAATTCGTGGAACGGTAAAATGTACTCCATTCTTATTCGCTTGACTTTGGATGAGTGTCAGTTACGCTTCTTCAACCCGTATATGGAGAGGTATAAATATATAAAGATTGTCTTGGCGACAACTCCAATTTAATGTCTGCTCTCATTCATCCCGATAAGTTGGCATGAATGAGAAGAAGGGTTTTCAGAAGAAAGTTCGGTCCTGAATCGTAAATATATATTTTTTTGCTACAAAAACTATTAATATTTACGTATTATTCTATTATTATATTCACATGCTAAGCTATGGTATTTTTTTTCATCTTTTTCATTTATTCTATTAACAGCTTGACATGAAACCACATTTAAAAGACATTGACACATTTAAAGTTTTCTGTTTCATTAAAGTATGTGGAAAATGCTCTTCTTTCAGTAAAATCCTCTAAAATACCAAAAGGCAGAGCGTCAACAATAAGCATATCCAATGATAGCTAGGCCTATCTCAAAGAAAATAAAGAAACAAAGGAGATAGATTTTTAAGGGTAAAAACTAGCAAACTGAGTAAATGATATTTTAGATGTGAACGCCACCTTACTTTTCCAAGGAAGGTACCATTTTTCAAACTAGAGGTTCTAAGGAAACATTCTCCGTTTCAGCAGATTCCCCATGTAATTTAAGAGTATATGTTTAAATGCTTTCCAAACAATTATTTTCGATGCTAAAAACGAATATTTAAAAAGTACTTGTCAGCCTTCTAGCTCGTAGGTCAAGTGTTATGATTTCTCTTAATTTTTTTCCTTAGATGAGAGGAAATGCATAAGAATGTACCTTGCAACGAGGGACATGGACATGGGAAAAGTTCCCATGGATCGTCCGGCCATGAGGAAGTCCTCGGCACTATCCTGTTTTTGGAAGACCCCGTAAAAGATCCCGATGGCCGCAGAGATGGCCAAAAGAAGAGCGAACACTACATAGTCCGGCCAGCCGAATTGCCTTTGAAGTTGCCCTAGATCGGCGTCGGCCGACTGGGTGGTGGTCAGGTTCATGACGCTTTCGACCAGATCCATGATTACGAGGGGAGATGTGACTCGGGCGAGGGCTAAACACAGACTGAGCGGTTTGGGAGGCTTTGGTCCTTCCTCATTCCCAGTGTCATCTCTGCATCCCGTCCCCGCTCCACGTCCTTCTACAGGGTGACCCAAAAAAATACACAGTTGATAGCGTTATTCCCGAGAATGGAACCAGTCGTCACGAGTTTTGCACCAGGATGAGAAGGAAAGCACCTGACAAAGCTACTGAAACCCAAAGAAGCAGCAAATGTACCGAAGAAAAACCGAAAAACATGCTATAGGCCATGAGCTAAGAGCATCAATCGCATAGATAACCAGGTCTTGCACTTAACTTTTAGTCTTAACTTTGCACTTGCCTTTGCTCCCGATGTCGCAAAAGTTTTACGATGCTGGTGATTCGAGTCACGAGACGTTACTTTTGAATCACCAATGAGACTGCTCGTGCTAATCTCCATGTTGGCAATATAGGTGACTTAGCACGAGCAGTCTCTTTGGCGTCTCGCCAGAGAGTACTCGACAGAGAGTGCGCGTATCACTTCTAGTACTAAAGTAATGGCGATTATATGAAATGGTATATGAATTATGAAGTATATGAAATATACTTACCTAGTATATGAAATGCATGCCTGTGGCTCTTTGCTTCGCCGTTTTTACTCGAGTCCTCTGTTTTCGCCTCTTCCTTGTTAGACAGACATTGAACACTACGTTTCATACACTACGCTTACTAATAAACTACGATTCAAAGGAGTTTACTCGAAGGGGTTTGACCAGAAATCCAAAATGACCCAAATTGACCCTTTAACTCGGCTTGAGTCTACTTATTCTGACACTTGAAATTAGGCAGTTTCCTTTTTCCACTTCGCCTGTTCTATGAATTTTAAACATCGCAAAAAAAAATTAAAGAAAAACCTGTGGTGAATAGGTGGCTCGATTTAGGTCACCCTGGGTCACTTAGACAAGGATTTGTGATTATAATAGTTTCGGCACTCCAGTATCGATTCAGGTTAGTGGGTGAGTTCTTATCAGTCTAGGCAGGAAATGATCACCATGCTAAAGTTCCACGATTCCCGACTTTTGATACACCCTGTACATCGACACAATCGGTTTCATGCGCTGAATTCAACGATGTCCCGATTATACTGGCCTTTTAACATGAGGCCACTCCAAATTTCTGGATTTTATAACGCACCCAACTCCAGGCTGATTGAAATTTTACTGATCAATCAGAAAATTTTATGGAACAAACAAAATAAATTCTGGTAATGAATGTTGGTAAACGTTCCAAGAACATATAGCGAAATTTTTAAATTTTATAGTGGAAAGCAAGATCAAGCAAAAAAAAAATGGATTCAGCATTCCGGTTCGAATAAGAAAAGGCGTTTAATTTTAAAAGAACCAACCTGAGGCTACACATTACTGCAGAGAAGCCTATCCTCCACATCAAAGATGATTCGTCATGTTTCATCATTCTCCTGGGTGTTAACGGAGTGAGGAACTAAAGCCTCATCATTCTTATAAGGTTCTAATTAATTAAAAAAAAAAAGTATTCCCTCCTCTTACGTTCATGTCTGATTCGAGTGAAGAATCCCTCCAATTCACAAATCGACATCGAAACTTGAAACACTCGGATCCAATCCATCACGACGGAGGTTCGGTCAGCTCAGATGAACCAACATGTCTCGAACACGAGATTCGCCGATTGGGAAAGAGGAAAAATTCAGCCGGGTTTCAAGCCGGTGGCGAACACCCTCGGGTAGACTTACACTTCAGACCTACAATTTCCTCAACAGCTTCTTATTTGCCGAGGGAAAGGCTCACGGGGAAGACGCGGCTGCCTCCGTCAACGGGCTGCGATCCAGCGCGAAGCAGTTCGATCATTCACTTTCGCGTTGAGGCTTCAGAATCGTCGTCACGTGGCAAGGGGTCGCGTTTCATTTTTAGTCGTCTCGAAATGCGCGGAGGGAATCGTACTCTTCTTTCGTCTTCATTGCCACTGCTCCACTATCTCCAGTACTGCAGTACTCCAGTACTACGCCGTAACGATTCTCTGGATCTGGATTCGAGTGGGGCCGAATCGTAGTTTCTCCAGCAGTAAAACAATTTTGAGGAATACCAGCTATTGTTCTAGATGTCAGAAAAGAAGCATCGACGGCTGCAGCAGTTTCAAGCGCCCGACGACACCTGGCGACAATGAGGCAAAGTACTTGCGACGTCCAAGAATCACGTGACCGAACCTGACCGGATCGGAAGGACGTTCCGACGCAGGCGGGAGTTTAGTGACTTCTGAAGGAGTCGACTGGAAACTCCGCTCTCCCCATTTCTCTCAGAAATTCCGAGAAAATTCTCACTCAGAATTTCTGACTATATTCCGAGAATCGGACCAAATTTTCTTCATCCAGGGCTTCAGGGTTTTGCTCGCCGAAGGGAGATGTTCCACGCTTCATTGCGCATGCGCAGTTCCATCGCCAAACGAACAGTATTTTCCCATTACGATGACGTGAGCTCGACAGACCGAAATGCTCAAGACATGACAGATCGAGAACGAGCCAATGCCATGAGTTTGCCCCCCCCCCCGCCCACGAATCGTTCCCAACCTGCCCAGTAATAACAGTCAATATAGAGTAAAACAGGCAGCGATGGGTCGCTTTAGAGTTAATACGATATGGATATGAAGTGCTTTTGGGTGCTAATCGCGATTTGAGATCGGTTATGGTCGGCTATTGTTTCGCTCTTCAGGCAGTTGGCGGCATCGAAAATTGACGTCGTGGAATTTGTCAGCCTCCAACATCAGGATTTGGTGTTTTACCCTCGTAGGGAGAAGGAATCGCCCGAGCCCATGAGAACGAAGAAGCGTGGCAGGTTCGGCTTCGATTCAGCTCTCTGATGATCGAAGAGCATCGAAATACGGAGAGAAATTATACCGAGGAGCATTCGCCTGAAGAAGCATTCGCCTGAAGAAGCATTCTTCTGCTCCAGCTGGACTGGCAGAAGCGAAAGCCCGACGGAAAAAAAAACAGGGGCCTTCTTGCAAGATTCCCCGCAAAGCGTGGAAGCGAGTCGGGTCGACACGCTTCCTCCTCCACCTTCCATCTGTAACCCCCTCCACCTTCCACCTGTAACCCCCAATAACCAAATGCAGTCAACTCTCGATATACCGCCACTGTTGGTTTACGCCGATTTTGGCGCTATCGAGGGTGGCGCTACATCGAAATGCGCGGCTTTAAAATGGAAAACTTTCGAAATAACTCAAATGTAAAATAGAATTTAAAAAAAAATCCACTTTAACTCATCCATGCTGCCAATGGAGAACAAAAACTACACAGCTTAGAAAAATGATTCACAATGTTTTTCGGCCGCATGCCCCTCCTTGTAGCATCGTCTGGAGAACTTTGAACCGAAAGAGGCGTTTCCATTCTCCAAAAGAAAGAAAAGGAGAGGCAGGATTAAGTCAGATTAAGAGACCCTTTACCTCTAATACCTGGCGTCCGTGCCAAAGCTAAGTCATCCCTCACATTCTAGTTAATAAACGATGAAAAGGAAAGGCTGACAACATGTCATTTTTTTCCACCGCAGTAGTGCATGATATAATCATGGTAGCTGGTGCGGTATGCTGCTAGGCGCTATATCGAGTACGACTTACGTTGAATTTAGGCACGTTTGTGCAAGGCAAGGCATTGGCGGAAGGCGGCTTGCGAGGGTGGCGCTATGACGGGGGAGCGCCAATGATAAGCCTATGGGGAAGATTCCTTCTCGGGAAAGAGTTGGCGCATAGCGAGAGTGGCGGTATATCGGGTGGCGCTATATCGAGGGTTGACTGTAATAACAAATAACCTAATAATGATTTGATAACCCCGTTGAGTGTCCCCTTCCCCCCGTTCTTATGCGGCTCGGCCCAGCGTGAACCCCCAAGGTCAGCACATTTTCTCCACTGAATTTTTGCAAGGGAGGGAAAAGGCGTCAGAGGATTCCAGGGAAAATTCGGGGAAAAGAAAAGAATGACGATTCGGTATGGCACGGACGAGGGCTCCGGCAAACCTGGCGCACGTGATTCCTCTCACGTGCGTTTTCACTTTGCGATTCGTCCCGGGCTCTATGGCTCGTGGCACTGGCTTGCCTGCTTCTGGAGTTTTCTAAGAGACCACCTTACAAAAAAATAAATAAATAATGTGGCTTGAATGGACGAGGGGCAGGGCGAGGGGTAGGGCAAGGGGCAGACGACTGAATTCGTCTGTCGTTCGCGGGGAAACGTGTTATTGTAGGGCGTCGATGCATGGTCGATCGGAGGCGACTTGGGCGGTACGGTTCGGGAGGGCGAGTCTTCTGGGGTCAAGCGGGGAATATTAAGGGAAATTGGGGGGAGGGGGGTGGGGTGGGGGGGAAGGTGGTGGAAGTGGGTTCATTGCCAACCGAAACTGATAAAGACGTACATGACGAGGCATTTCCATGCATGGAAGCGATGCAATAGACTTTCAAGCGAAGTCTGCGGACTTTTGTAGCTCGATGGATGCGTCCATTAATAAAAGAAAACGGCTTCATGCGGGCGTCGCTTTCGATTTGGAGCTGTTACGCCACAACGTTTGTTCCATAAAAGGTCATGTTAAAATTTGGGACTCGTGTGTGCATGCTGCAATACTTTTGAATATGTCCGTGACGGCACAAAATCAGCTGCAGCAGCAAATATTACATTATTTACATTTCCAAGTTCATATCGATGTCGTCGAATCGTAAGCATGAATATTTGTTTAGTTTCGAGGGATCCGAGCGGCAGCAAAATCCCTCCCAGAGGCCGCATGCGACCCACGGGTCACGGGTCGCCGATCGCCGAGTTGAGGCCGTTTCGCACTCTGCGTCCTTTGAGCGCGACACGCGTCCATTCGCGTTTGAACGCGAAGGACCGCGGGCGAGCGTGCGGTCTTTCACTCTCAGGTGAAGAGAAGAAGCTCTCCGATCATTTGTCTTTCCTCATTTCCCCTCCAATATGCTTTTTTGGGGACAAAAAGCAGCTTTTATGCGTATTTCGCCCGTAAAGTCGTTTATGAGGCTCTCGAAGCCAGGGCCGCCCGGGGGGGGGGGGGGGGACAAATGGGGGGATCTGCCCCGGGCCCCGCGAANGGGGGGGGGGGGGGGGGGGGGGGGGGGGGGACGACAAATGGGGCGATCTGCCCCGGGCCCCGCGAATCAAGGGGCCTCAAGGGGGGCCTCCAAGGGGCCTCAAGGGGGCCCCCAAGGGGTCTCCGGTTTAGTTTTGCCCCGGGGCCCCTGGGAACCTCTGGACGGCCCTGCTCACAGCTTGGGATTCCACCCAGACGTTCTCGGCTCGATCTTGGAAATGTTGGAGAAGACGTGACATTCCTTTCATCCCGTGACGTCACCCTCGCGTCCCGAGAAGGAAGAGACGGAATATCCGAACTGACCAGCCGGGGAAGGCGCCGAGTCGTCTTGCGAGAGCTCCTACGATCGAATGCAAGAGGAAGGGGGGGGGGGGACAAGGGCAAGGGCAAGGGGGAAGGGGGGGGGGGGCAAGGGCAAGGGGATGGGGGAAGGGCACTCACAGGGTACCACGTGCCATGACAGTCGTGAATGGGGCGCCATGTTTGTAGCATTGCACGTGGTGCGTAAGCGCGTGTTGGGGAATAAACCTGATGCGGGAAAGGAGTCGCCCTGACTTCGTTCCTGATTTTTCTATTTTTCTTGCAATGATTCTTCGATTGGGGCACAGAGAATCGGTCTCTGGTAAAACTCGAAACGCTGTTTAATGAAATTTCACGAGGAAGACGTCTAGCAACACTCGAGGGACGTCTGCTGCGATAGATCGCGGGCTCTCTTCCAGTGTTACCGGATGGTTCCGATGGACTAGCGCGATGAGAATCTTCAAATTCCTGCTTTTCACCAAAAACTCGCAGTTTCCTCCTATAAATAGGTCTAAGCATGATCCAGTTATTTTCGAATCAAGCCTAACAGCGTTTAGCTACATTGTTGGCCGAGTCCAGCCGAGATTTTGCAAGATGCACGGCGCCGCTCGAGGGGCATCACTGTCTTCTTTTGTGTGTGCGTTCTGATTGGCTGGGCGCAACGGAAGAAAACGTTTCGACCTGAGGGTTCTGCCATCGCTTCGTGGGTCCAACGATGACGATTCCCAGGGAAGAATCCGCGAGGAAATTTCTCTCGATCGCAATTTACGGTTTTCGAGAAAGACTGGAATGCGGGGGGGCGGGGAGCTTTTTTATCGGATTCGAATCGCTGGAATCGCATGCTAAACCATGAACATTTCATTCATCTCATGCCGTGTGAGTACGGCCGCATGAAGGCCTGATGCAAATGAATTTTTCTATTATATTCGGTAAGCATCCCATTCTTCAGGGTTACGAGAGGAAACTGCAGGCTTTCTTATCGCGATGCAAAACTAGCAATTTGTTAGTATTTTAACCTGTTGACGGGTGGGTTATTATAAGCTCATGTGCACCTTCAGGGGGAGTTTTTTTTTCCCACAAGACTATTTTGTTACATACACAAATCAGTAGACCCTTTGGCTGTGATATTCAAGAAAGCAGGGGTGTACACATAGGACTTTGTCGCATTCGACACATAAACCGTGTCGTCTTCCTCGCGTTCAAATCATACATCTATGATTGTACCTGTCAACAGGTTAAAGAACACGCCGATGGAAAGTAGATTTTTTAATTATCAACCAGAGAATACTTGGCTCAAACCGTCAGTCCTTTCACAAATGCGTGGTTTCTTGCGTGAGCGTGCCTCGCGATGTTTCAGTTTCGAGCACGTTTCAGGTCGGCACCGCCTAAAATTTGGGCTACACCTTGGTCAGGTGTCTCGACGTAAATTCTCTCCGTCGTTGCGCGAAAGGCTGACACAAAAACGTGATTTCTCCGGCAAAGTCTTGTGCGATTGTGAGCGTCTCGACGAAAGTGCCAAACGCTGTAAAAATCATTTTTTCACTTTTTCGAAGCAATCCTTCTTCGCCCTTCGCTCTCTCGCTGGCTGGTCCATTAATCCCCCCAATATTCCTCTGGGTTACTGGGGCAACGCGTCCGGAATACGATCAGCTTTCCCTGCCGATTCAGCCTTGTTCCCATGTCGAATCCAAGCGATAACACTCTTTTCTCATGGGGAATATTTCACTCATTTGAATGAATCAGCCTTGCATCAATTCACGAGGACTGTGCAGATTAATGCCTCTCATTTCCCGCCAGAGTTTTTTGTCCTGTTCTGGCTCTGGATTAAACACCATACGCGATCGCTCGGACAAGCCCTCGGGTACATCCAAGGGAAAATGCTGCATGAAATACAGAAAAAGGGACTTTATTCATCTTCCTTCAGTTAAAGACACAGAAAAACATGCTCACTACAATTGGATAAGGTCCCATATTCACAGAGAACACAGTGAGATCCACTCCAGATTTCCAATGTAGACAGCGAAAATGAATGACAATGATGGAGCCAAGGTCGTCATAGCCTCATGATCAGGTGTAGGAGAAGGAAGGAAGGAGTCAAGATTATGTAAATGTGCTATTCAAGTGTAGGGAGCTGAACGTTCTTCAATCGATGCAGATAAGTTTGGTCTGAGAGTCTCTCTTTGCAGAAAGATCTGCTGCAGCAGCTGCCATGGCCGATGCCTGTGAGCTGTACATTGGTGGAGTCATGAGACCTACAGCCAGGTCAAAGACAAAGAGAGAAAGAAAAAAAAATTAAAGAGAGGAAAAAACAATGAGGAAAGGGTACACTTGAGCTCCAGGAATGTCCATGTACTTTGTGAAGGTGGGAAGACTTCAATTACTTTTTCACCAGGGTGCATTGAGGTGCTGAAACCGCAACTCATCTGGGAAATTAAAAGGGCTCTGACCTGGCAGTGAATATTGAGGCCGGAATGCAGCAAAGTTGGCACCAGGAAAGCCCGAGAGTGCACCGGCGGCTGTGAAACCGGGCGGGAACTGACTCACTCCCAATGCTGCTAAAGGAATACCAAAATTATGCCAAGAGGCATTGACATGAAGCATTTTCATTAACTTGTTCTGAACCTACCACTGGCAGCCTGAACCTGCTTGGCCTGAGATGAAGTAAGGGTCGTGGAGGCTCCAGAGGAACCCGTCGTAGCTGCCAATCGAGAGAGAATGGATCTCTCTGACATCTGAAGCCGCTGGGCCACGGGAGGAAGGCGTGCGATCGACGCTGGGAGACGGGACACGTCAGATTTCATGTCCGATAGCAGTTCCTCCAGCTGATTTAATACCTGTTCAGAAAACTCTTTCATTGAATATTATGAAAAACTGGCACATACAATTCATAAACCAACAACACGGAAAAAGTGGGGAACCTTGTGGAGCACAGCATTGGCAGGCTTGTTCCCAGCAAGGCTCTCCTTGGACAAGTGCTGATGAGATTCAGCCAGGCATTCTACTTCGGCAAAGCGGGCATTCAGAGCCATGGCTGGGTGTGATGGGTCTTGACTCAGGGACAGATATGCAGCCCTCCTCAATTGTTCCTCAATCACCAGTGCCTGCTCCAGCAGCTGTTTCACATGAAAAAAAATAAAACCCACTCTCTCTGGCACCAAGAGCAGCAGCAAAAGAAGGAAGCCACAAAAGAAAGCTCACCTTGAATCGTCGAGCAAGGAATTTGTTCTTGATCTCAAGGAAATTACCCTTTCCAACATCCATTCGGAAAGGTTCGTTGATGATGGCAAATCGAGGATCATTCTGGATGTCCTGCCAACGCCCATAGCCATGAGTCACAATCCCAGACAAGAGCCAATAGTCATGCCTGCAGAAGAAACCAATTTCTTGAATCAAATCACCCATTATGACTGACTGCATCCATTCTACCAAAGTGATTCTTAGACTACTACCTGCGATGCCATATCTCATACTCCCGCCCAGGAACGGCGGCCTTTTCTTCATTCTGCCACAAAGTGTGAAGTTCTGTGAACCCTCCATCTGCTATGTTGAACATAAACCTGGGTTTCTCCTTCTTTTTCTCCTTATCTTCCTCTTTCTTCTTATCCTTACGATCTTCCTTTTTCTCTTCTTTTTCCTTTTTCTCTTCCTTTTCTTTTTTCTCTCCTTTCTCTTCTTTCTCTCCTTCCTTCTTTGCTCCATTTCCCTCCTCCTCTACATCCTTCTTTGCTCCTTTCTCCTCCTTTTCTTTCTCTTTAGTCTTCTCCTCTGATACAGATTCCTTTTCCTTCTCATTCTCCTTATTCTTGGCTTTTCCATTTTCCTCCTCTTCTGGCTTCTTTGCCTCTTCTGCAGTCACCTCTTCCTTCACTTTATCAGAATCTACATCCATCTTGATGTCCTCTGCTCCTTCAGTCTTTTCTTCCTTCTTTTCCTCCTTCATCTTCTATTCAAATCAAGAAGTAAAGTTCCTAACTGTGAACAATTCATGAAAGGAAGAGGGGGGGAATTAACTTACCTGCTTGTCTGAAGGAGATTTCCCTTTTTCATCTTCTTGTGTTTCCATCTTTTCTTCTTCCACCTCCTTTGATTTATCCTTGACCTCCTCCTTAGCATCTTTTCCTTTCTCATCTGTCTCCTCTTCCTTCACTTTCTTCCCTTCTGTTGTTTCTCCATTTGAGATCTCCTCCTTGACAGCCTCATCTTTTCCTTCTTTCTTGTCTCCATTACTCTTGTCCTTGTCCTTCTCTTTATCTTTATCCTTTTCCTTTTCTTTGTTGGCTATGTCAGGACGCAATATCTCCACAGTCTGACGCACCTTCATATCAGGCATACTGTGTGTTCCATTGACCTCTTCAAACTCATGAACCTGTCCAGGAAAAAATCTTCTCAATAAGAAAACACTCAAAAGTAAAGGTAGTGATTACATCTCTCACAGGTTGCCCCAAATTTTCAAAATGTACTATAACTGTAAGCATATGGCATGTGGAGATGAGCCTTTAGAGGGATGCTCTGACCTCCTCACAACCCTCTCTAATATCTTCCCCGTATTTATTTTTCTGTGTCCACCTTTACAATCAGGGCTTTGAGGACTTGCAGCCACTGATCAAGATTATGGACATGTGCAATCAAAGGAGGCAGAATGCAAGTATAGTACCTTCTTGCGAATGAGGGCCATGACCCCAATGCGAGTGAGAACATGCTGTCGACTGAGGCCCTCACGAGGAACTCCATCTGCAAATGTTTCTGCGTTGTCTGCCCCCGGCTCACATAGGTGACGCATGAATAGACTCACGTATGCACGGAAGTTCTTCTCTGACTTTCCCCTGAGGTCCCGCACAAGCCTGTTTTGCCCAAAACACCAGCAATAGCATAAGCTCACATTGAATTAAAGCCAAAAAGATTTAAAGGCAGCTTAGACTCACCACTGAGAATTAAAAACATCTTGAGGAGGCATTCCATACCGCATGATGGCATTGAGGAAGGCCTTGCGTTGACGTGCATTGAATCCCAAAACCTGGAGAAAAACCATGACAAATAATCACAAGTAATAATAGTAAGAGAGGATGGAAGTGAAGAGCTTATAATATTACTTAATCAGAATTAAATCTGTCTCATCAGGAGTGCAGATGAGTAAGGAAAGCATCATTAACAAGAGCATTCAGAAAAGAATGCAATGACAAGATATCTCACCTCAATAGAGCCACCCACTCGTGCAAGGAGGGGTGGAAGAGGTCTGTCTCTTTCATTGCGGGCATCAAAGCGCTTCCGCCCTCGTCGCTTCTCCTCTGCAAGACAAGATTAATGCATTCTTTCTAACTTGTTATATCATTGGGTCTGGAAAGTTTCAGAAGATTCTCGAAAGCTCACCATCAGTGCGCTCATCAAAGTCATCATCCTCTTTGTCATCATCTGTGACAGGAAATTCAGATGTGATCAATGGGTGATATATTGGCCTATCAAATATTCTGATAATTTGAAAACAAATGGCTTACCAGAAGGCATAGAGAAATCAGAGTTGTAATCAGAAAGATTTTCTTGCCAAGTGGTATCTTCCCTCCCATCTGTGACTGCATCATTGTAGTTCACCTTCAGGATGCATGGCAAATGATAAATGCACAGTATACACTTCAAGTCACAAAGAGATAGAGGTGAAACTTACCTGTTTCCGAACTCTCTTTCCTTTTCCTAGTGACCGAGCAATGTCTTCCTGTTGCTGCTCATAGTGATGTCTAAGCAGACGTTCCCAATATGTTGGGTCAGCAGTTTCAACTTCCTGCTTCAGGATCTCCCTCTCAGGTTCCTCCTTCAAGAACACCATACATCGTTTAATAATGCAAGGGGTGTTAGGGTTTTCAAAAAGTTCATTTTCAGGAGGGATACTTCAAGTGTGACTCACTTCTTCATCTTCTCCTTCCTTTGTGACATAAGTAGCAATTTTGAAGGAAGACAAGTACTCATTGGCCCAATTTTCCTTCTGCTCTATCCCAACTCTAGCTCGATCCAGAAGCTCACCTATGGCCTTGTCATCATAATGGATTTCCTCATCCTCCCTGCCCTAAGAAAAAAATAATAATAAAATGCTATCCCCTCTGAAATTACCTGCAATGTGAGGTGAGATGAAAGAAGAGACTGACTGTCTCATCTTTGAATAGATCTTCAGTTCCAAAACGTAGAATGTCATCCAATTCCTGTTTGGTGAAGTTACCAGCTCTCCCACCCACACCTGGTCGAACCACAAGATGAGTCAGCATCATTTTCCTCTTGGCAACCTGAGTCACACGCTCTTCCACAGAGTTGCGGGTCACGAATCGATAGATCATCACCTGGATAAATTAGGAGTAGGATAGGTGAGAACATTTTATCCACTTCACACAAAAATGCAGAACAACCATGCTATACCTTGTTGGACTGCCCAATACGATGGGCTCGAGAAAAGGCCTGAATGTCGTTGTGAGGATTCCAGTCAGAGTCATATATGACAACAGTGTCAGCAGTTGCCAAGTTGATACCAAGACCTCCAGCTCTGAGTAGATTCAACAGTGAATTCATTCATGCGAATAACTTGAATTTTTGCAATGAAATCATGGAATCATACTTGGTTGAGAGGAGGAAGACAAATTGTGGAGCATTTGGAGCATTGAAACGGTCAATGGCCTCCTGCCTCATCATCCCAGTGATGCTTCCATCAATGCGCTCATATTTGTATCCTTCATTTTCCAGAAAGTCTTCAAGGAGATCCAACATCTTGGTCATTTGAGAGAATATCAAAACCCTGAAAAGAAAGGAGAAATGAATTATAAAAATTTCCAAAAGATTACTTTAAATTTTCTATGGACTAGCTCCTACTTACCTGTGTCCCTCTTCCCTAAGCTGGGCAAGCATTTTCTGAAGAAGTATGAGCTTCCCACACGACTTCACCAAACCTATATGTTCATACATTCCATTTGGAAGCTTTGGTGCCTCAAGTTGAGCAGCTGCAAACAAGTATGGGTGGTTGCAACATTTCTTTAGATCCATCATGATGTTCAATAGAGATGTTTGCTGTCCTTTCCCCTTTGCATTCAGGGCTTCAAAGTTCCTAGTGAGGATATACTTGTAGAATTTCTTCTGCATTGGGGAAAGCTCTACTCGAACAATGAATTCTGATTTGGAGGGCATGCTCTTCAACACATCTGCCTTCAGACGTCGCAGCATGTGGGGACCCAGCAATTCATGAAGACGCTTCACCTAAAAAAAAATCAGTATTGTACATCATACAGACTACCATATTGCAGATATTTTCTGTTAAACTTTGAGGATACTGATACGTACTTGTTCTTCCTTGGCGATGTCAGCAAACTCATTCTGAAAAGTCGCCAGATCATTGAACTTATCAGGACACAAGAAGTGGAGAAGATGGAACAATTCCTCTAGGTTGTTTTGGAGTGGTGTCCCAGTAAGGAGGAGCTTGTAGTTGATCTTGTACTCTGTCAGGACTCTGAAAAACTACAGGAGAAATTCTCATGATTTTCACATTTTGAAGTTATAGACTCAGGTGATAATAAAGACAACTGAACCTTGCTTTGGTTGTTCTTCAAACGGTGAGCCTCATCAACAACAAGCACAGCCCAGTCAATGGAGCCAAGGCAGGTGGCATCAATGGATATCAGCTCATATGAGGTGAGGAGAACATGGAACTTCACAGAATTGGCTCGGACTCGGGATGCCTTTGGCCCGCCTCGAACGGCCCCTTCCTCAAATGTAAGCTCATGCTCTCGGACAGTCATTCGACAGTCCTTGTCCCCAATGTAGGTCACAACATAGAACTCAGGAGCCCACATCTCAAACTCTCTCTCCCAGTTGATGATGGTTGAGAGAGGTGCACTCACCTGTTGAAATGAAGTATCACAATTATTCAACCAATAGTCAGGTGAGATAGCAGTAGACAGTCAGAACACTCACCAGGAAAGGACCTTTGCAATGACCTTCCTTGTACAGAGCATACAGGAACGTAATGGTCTGAATTGTCTTTCCCAGACCCATCTCGTCTAAAAGAAGGCACCAAAGAAACCTCATTGATGATCTAAGCAAATAAGCAGCCAGGAAGATATGGCACTATATATATTATTTATGTCCTCACCTGCCAATATTGTGTCAATACCCATGGCCCACGAGTAACGCAGCCAGTTGAGACCCTCCATCTGATAGTCATGGAGGGTTCCCCCAGTGGCATCTATGTACTTGGGTTGTTTCTCAAGCTGCTTCTTAAGGTCGGAGACGGGACGATCAGGTGGTGGATAATATTTCCTAAAATGAACAAAAGATAAAAGTGAAATATCCTTGAGAATCCTAGCAACTTCATCCTCCTGCTGTATTTACGATCACAACACCAGCCCATAACCTAATATTCTCTTATCAATGAACCCATAATACCTGGGATGTTCTCTCCCCTCATCTTCTGTTTCTCGTCTTTTCTTATTTTTTTTCCCACTCTTCTTCTTGTTATTGCCATCTGGACCAAAGACAGAACGCAGGTCCTGCAGCAGAAAAAGTTAAGAAAAGGCATTACATCTCAACTAAGCCAATGCTACAAAACCAAGAGAACATGCACTAAAATTACCCACCAAATAGTCATCAATGGCTTCCTTCAAGCCATGGATTTCCTCGTCTTCAAATTCCCATGTAGCCTGATCGTATGGCAAGTCTCTCCATTTCACCAAGTACTGTGTGCTCCCATCCCGCAACAGGCGGTGATTGATCACTCGGTGAACCTTCAACCACTCTGGGCGAATACCTTGCCTAGCAAGAACAAAGGAAGACGATGAAAATTATCTGATACAAAAACGCGTTTCTCATGTTATACCTATAGGTTGAAAGGAAACTGTGGTCTTCCTACAATCCTTTGTACAGTCACGTTGAGACCAACAAGGAAGCATGAAAGACAACTTTCATCTGTCCCTTATCTGCTGCTCAAGAGGGCAAAAATGCTTCTCTTAAGGGATGAAAGGGACTCGCATAGTCAACTCTTGCTTATCGGGACATCAATCACCAAACTCTCTCCTAAATCCATATTTCCCATTAAAACAAACTAACTCTCCGGTCCCCAGGGCCACTCATACCCTGTTTATCCGAAATTCCAGACATACAAGATGGAGACCTCTTACAGAACTACATTTTCCCTCTCTCAAAGGCGCTCTCATAAAGGAAAAATAAGTGCTTCTGGTCTAAAAAAATTTGGACTAAATTTGCGGGTTCTCTGATGTCTGGATCAGCGGGAGTTGACCATAAAAGAGGAATCTACATACTTGTAGAATCTTTCATGAAGAAGATTCTGATTGATTGCATCCTTTCCCTTCCCATTCTCTTCGCTCGGGCTTCCTTCTTCCTCTTCGTCCTCGATGTCATTGAAAGTAGGTGGCTCGTCCGTGTCGCATTTCCGCACGTATGAGCGATACATCTGAGGGTGGAACACTTCCAGCTGGTCCGTGAAAAGATACCGAATTACCTTTCAATTCTCCTATTCTGAAGAGCTTGCAAGATAATCTCTGTAACTCACTTGAACTTCCTGAACCCAGGAGCAATGCCAATACGAACGATCGAGCCATTTGACAAAGAACTCTCGTGGACGCTGGAGCTGCTTCTTCCGAATCTGCTCTGGTTGCTCGTCTTTCTCAGTTTTCTCGAGGGTGTCTGCCCATCGCCAAGTCAAGATTTTTTGGACTCTTCCATCCAGAGGCTCGACCTTCATCATACAGTAATGCAATTTCAGCTCATCTACTGCAATGCCAATTCCAATTCATATTTGACAGGAGCTGGTACTCACAGAGCAACGTGGACACTTCCAGTCACCGTCGGGAACCATCTTGATAGGAGGATTGAGGCAGAAAGTGTGATATGCAGATGGGCACGAGTCACAACACAGCAGTTCGCCTCCATCCTTACAAACCCTGGAAGGAAAGCATCGTTAACCCTCATCACATAAGACGAGAGAATTTCCTCGTTTATGATTAAAAAAACGCATTGCAGGATGGGACCAACCGGCAGAACTCCATGTGCTCATCTTCTTCAGACGAGGACTTATCCAAAGGTGGGCCCTCTTTCTCACAGTGAGGGCAGGACCACTTCCCTTCTGGTGCCTCTTCCAGCTCGGGATCCAAGCAAACGAGATGATACGCTTTGGGACAGGTATCACAAAGTATGATCTCCCCTCCTTGCTGACACACTTCACAATAGTCCTGGTGCTCTGACTGAAAATGTGAAAAATGGAATAAATGACAAGAACGAATAACCAAGGTCATGAGACTTAGATGTCATTGCATTGATACCCACCTCATACCCAGCTTCATCACCCTCCCCTCCACCCCATCGGTTGGTTGTCTTGGTTTTCTTCTTTTTCTTCTTGTTCTTGCCGCCGATCTTGGTTTTGGCCTTGCGCACAGGTGGTTGTGGAACTTGAGTGGAAGCTTCCTCTTCCTTTACCTCTTCTGCTTCAGCCAACATTTGTTCAAACTCTGCATCTGAATCTTTGTCAGTTCCACTTTCACCCTGAACAATACCGAAGTACTCATGAAACCTCTTTCAGTCTAAAGCATTGTTTATGGACTGGTAGGTTCACTCACAGAACTCCCTTTGCGTTTTTTACCCAGCTTGATCTTCAGAGTTGGGACTTTGCCTCGTCCGGCCTTCTTTCGTCCTCGACGAGGAGCATCATCTTCCCCTCTTCCGTTTCGTCTCTTTCCAGCCTGGGAAGTTGTTGGAGTTGATGTCCCATCCCCTTCAGTATCGGCAAGACTGTCTTCACCATCTCTCTCAGGGTTCTGGGTGCAGAACTCCCTATACTTTGCTGCAATCAACATGTTCAACTTCGTAGATGGTACCTGCAAGGATAAATCAAAGATGCAGGATTCCATTGGAAATAAGCCACAAAAGCTAGTTTTCTTGATGATTAATTCACCTTAGGGTTCTCCTTCATGATGATTGGTTTGATGTGCTGCTGGTAAAGTTTGTAAGTGGTCAGATTCTGGAAGTCAGCGTCTGAGTATTCCAATGCCACATCATTCAATCCAAAACTAGCACAGACTTCCTCTGGAGTAGGAAGCTCTGAACTAGATTTTCCCTCTGGTGCAGCTGCCTTTGGCCGGCGACCACGACGGCTTGAACTACTATACTCTGTATCATCTCTGTTGGTATCCTCTTCAAATCCAAAATCACTTTCCTGTAGACAGCATACACAATCAATAATTTCTATATATTAAATACAGTGAAAACTCGTTAACTCGAATCCTGATAAGTCGAAATTCTGCTTATCTTGAAGTTCAAAGCTTGGTCCCGGCGGAACCCCGTAGGACACCATGTTAAATGCTCCGTTTAACTTGAATTCAGGGTGAGAAGGGGGGAAAAATTTTTCTCTTGGGACTTTTTAAAAAATACTTTTGAATAGGAGGAATGACAAGAAACACGTTCGGGAGGATGTTCTTTTGTTTTTTTTTCTGCTTCTCCCTCCTCCCACACAGACGCCTGTGGCGAGGATTAAAACCGAGAAGCTTCGGCTATAAAAAAGCAGCCTTAAAAATTCTCTCTGTCTATCGCTCNTTGACCACAAATACAGGGTGGATTATCAGTTTTTTTATATGTTAACTCCCATTAGGGTGGGTAATCAGTGTTTCATATGGCGACCCCACCCATTTGGATTTGCCCGGTCCCTAAAAGTTCGAGTTAACGAGTTTTCACTGTACTACTAATGGTACTAATGCACTAATGGTAAAATGTTTGCAAAATTATTGCCCTATTGGCCAATACTAAAACTATTCCAATAAAAAGGTTTTTCAGAAATGCTTAAAATACAATTAACACATACTACTATGAATGAATTAAAGATTCAGAATAGGTGCTTCATAGTACAATATAAGCATTGGCACAAGAAAAAGTATTAATGCCTTTAATTATCTATAGCCTTACTGAAAAGAAATCATTCCAATCTCTGCAAGTCACCCACCATTCAGTCAGGGCAGATTTTAACTACCCACCTTTGAGTGATTTTGCATGCAGGAAAATTTTGAAGAATCTCTTTCTTCTGATCCAATTTATAATACTTTTCAGAGCATTTCCCTGCACCAGTTTCCCAAGTTCCAACATGAGGACATGATGAAATCCATTAAAATCCCCTACAAAACCATGATTACCTTCATAGTGAACTTATAATTCACATACCTATCGAAAAATTAAACTCTGATGTTAGACCTCTCTCAAGAGAATTTTAACCTAACATTTTAGCAAGAACCACTAGACTCAAATGACAGCTCAACTTACTTCAAATTTTTGTGGACAAATGGTGAGTCTACATTGATTCAACATTTCATCCAACTTCTCACAAAACAAACATTTTCCTTCATATCCATCAGCATTCACAAAAAGTTTTGCCATTTTCCATTTTGATGAACATTAAAAAAATCAATGGTACAGTCAAACTCACTTCTCCAGCTGATTCTGCCACCTTCCTCCTTTTCTTCTTCCGCTTGCTACGTCTCTCCTCCTTTACCTTCCGTTTCTTGCCCCTTCGTTTCCTTGACTTACCAGCTCCAAGCTCAAAATCTGCATCATTATCTTCTTGGTTCTGGAGATGAAAGAAACTCCAAGCAGTTAAAGGCAAGCACATGGGAAAAAATTCTGTGTGCACATGGTATAACAATTTTCAATATATCTTACTGCTTGACCATCATCTGATTCTTGTCCAGAACCCCCATTTTCATTCTCTGCATCTTGTTCCTGCTCTTCATCTGGTTCCTGTTCTGCTTCATCAGCTTCATCATTATCTTCAGCCTCCTCCTCATCTGTCTCACCTATGCACAACAAAAAAAGGAAGAATCATAGACATAGACAATCACCATCTTTTTCAAGCATCACCATTGTTGATAAGGCGATGTCTACAACCTGATTCACCTCTCAAATATAGATTGGGAATTGCAGATGGTTTGAGCCTTCTTTCTCCATCAGATGACAATTCTTCTTCAAATCCATCCTCTGAAAAGTGGCGATTGCAGACTCGCTGATCTGGATCTATGTCAGCATAGATGGCTTTTCGATAAATTCGCTGGCACCACTCATTTCTGACTGTTGCATCCTTGGGGAACATATAATAACTGATGCGTCTTCCCCTGGAGTCATATTTGGCTTTCCCAGATTTATTTTTGCACCCAAACACAGTGCATTGATAACTAGGCATTCCTGCTGATTGCTTCAGATCAGCATTCTGAATGCCTAAGTATAAATACCTGCATGAAAATACCAAATCAAAATTTTTCCCATAACTAGGTCAAAATATAGCATTGACCTTACAGGGTAAGCCATGACTATCAGATATAGAAAACTGTTTGACCTTTGATACAGTGGCGTGACCAGGAAATCCAAATGGGTGGGGTCGCCATATGAAACACTGATTACCCACCCTAATGGGAGTTAACATATAAAAAAACTGATAATCCACCCTGTATTTGTGGTCAAATAAAAAAATTTACACGAATTGAACCTGTAAAATTGACCCCAAGGGGGGGGTTATGACCCCCAAAAACCCCCTTGGACATACCACTGCTATGATAAATAAGTCTACACTCACTTTCAATAGAATTTGTAAACCCCACCCAATGAAGCACTTCCATGGATCTGCAATGGTAGTGACACCTTTCACAAGGGGAGTTCTTTGATTGTCTGATGAAGTGGATCCTCTGAAAGCAGTGCTTTCTCCCTTCACTACCCATGGGGGATAGGAATCCAATCCAAAAACAGTGTAGCAGTACTTAGCAGTAGCAGTACTTAGCTACAGGTTTTTTAAAACTGAATTCAGTCCTAAGGCTTGACACCAACACTCATGAAGATGGAATGCCATAGATGGGTGCCAGATTCAAGTGAAAAAACCTGAATAACTTTTTCTGTAACCCTTCAGTTATGAACTTACATGAACTAAATCATCCTTAGCCTAAAGCAATCAGAATGAATTATCTGTATCATGAAAGGGCTTCAGCCTGAAGTATCCAAGGTTTGCTGTTAGTGTATCCATATACAATATGGTTCTCTAGTGAGATATCGGCAGGCATTATTCCGACGTTCAAAACCAATTTTCTTAAATTGACCTCTAACAGTTTTCGTCAGCATATCGAATCGATAGGGTATAAGCCTACCATTGCACCTTTATGTAACGTTATACCTATTGGCCAATGATGCGAACACAAAGGTCTAGTGGGGTATGCCTACAAAGCGCTTTCATTTCAACTTGGAACCACTTTTTGGTCCATATTAATTCAAAGGCTCACCTCTCCCGTAAGTCCGGTTACTGTCGTAAACGATGCTACATGTGGTAGGAAGTCAAAGTTTATATTTTAACATTTACAAAATAATTGGAATAAGTAGGCCTACAAAAGCCAACGATCCCCACCCAAATCTGAAATCTTACATGCAACGTCTACTGTTATTTTAGGCCTACCGTAGACTCAATCAGAGAATGCATAGTAATTACCTGTCTAACTTCAATAAGCTTAACCAAAGTCTGCCAAAACGTGAGTTTATCACGGATGATTTCTAGCACAACGCAGACATGGAGGAAAGAGTGATGGTTGTCGGCCCCTCCGCCCAATCCCCACCCACTGGTGCTCTCCTCTGCGCTTGGGAGACAACCCCCTAAGCATGCCGAATCCCCCCTCCCCTCCCCCCCTCGCCGTCCCCGTTTCCCCTTCCCGCCCCTCATGGGCTAGGAGACGCGATAAGGGACTTGGTCACATGGAGTGCATGATTTACGCCGCTATGAACATGACATGAACAAGGCCCACATGAACGACTGAAAACAACGCGCTCCTATTCGACTCATAGGAATTCCGAGTTCAAGAACCGTCGGGCTTCACGGATGCAGCTGAGGAACCGCTTCGTTGAAATCGACTCATCGGTCACCTTATCAAAGCTTGTTCAAATGATTGCTTCCCACATCTCTATGCAGATGTCGCCGCCATCCATTTTCTCCCGTTTCAACATGGTGATACACAAGCCAATGCGTAACACTTAGAAATAAGATAAACCTTCGTCTACCTTGAATGGTTCCGCTTGCAGTCCTACAGGGCGAAGTAACATCGAGGGTAAGCAAGTTTCGACATTTCGCAGCCCAAGTGTACTCAATTTGGTGGGCCTGAGACTACTCTAGCCTTGCACTTTCTCACGTGACACGTACTCAGCAAAAGTAATTAACACAAGGCCTTCGCCTCGCAATAGTTAGCTGAATCATAACTTAAAATTAAGAACAGTTGCTAAGCTGTGATACGCTCGGCAAATTGTCATTCCAACAACTTTGCTGGTGCCTGACAAGAAAACCTTGGACAGCTGGTGCAAAAATGTCAAGTTGGTTCTCTTTTAGTCATCCATGGCACTCTTGTACCTGACGCTGGGAGTTTGAAAATGGCAATGGTTGCTCAATGTTATATTCATACAAGAACATGTTTTTGTAATTACAACTTTTTTTCTATGTGTAATCTCCACCCTAGAGGTATGTGACAATGCATGCACAAGAAGCTCTAGGCCCATGAATGTTTCTTGACCCTGAAATCCTTGTTATCACCTGCATGCACAATCCAAGTATCCTCCAACTTTGGAATCCTCAATAAAAACCTAAGTGGTTACTTAGAGGATATGCTGCTAGTCTGACCTTCACTGCTGCGTTCTTCCAGATACCTCATCTAGAGACGAGTACTTTCTGCTTGGGTTTAGGGGAGAGATACCCTTCCCCCCCCATTGAGGGGAAGGGGGCAAGTCATTGTCATTTGCCTAAGGAGTTGATTGGAAGCCAGTTGCAAAATTATGCTTCACAAGTATCATTTGCTTTGGTTGACATTCATTTTTTTTTGGATAATAACCAGTATCACATGCCATCTACATGAGTAGACCTTAGCCTGTCAAATGCATATGCATTTGCATAGGCTTAAGCCTTGAGCTTTGATTGAACTCTCACATGTTGAAGCATCAAAAGCAAATGTGTAGGTCTTCATATGGACCTTACATTTCTATACTCATATGAAACTTCCTCCTGCAGGTTATTCATATGAGATTTTTGACTGCATCATGGAATGGTTTGGTGTAGTCTGTACCTGAAAAGAAAAGCAGTCATTACATCATTCTCAAAATGGGAGGGAATCAAACTGAGGAAGACATTCCTCAGGAGCGAAATCAGTTGTGTAAGCTGTCAGAGGAGAGTTTGACACGGCAACCAGAAGAGGTGTTCGATGTATTGTGCAAATTGGGGGAGGGCTCATATGGAAGTGTTTTCAAGGCTCTCCATAAGGAGAGTGGTCAAGTCTTGGCAATCAAGCAAGTACCAGTGGATACTGATCTCCAGGAGATCATCAAAGAGATATCTATCATGCAGCAGTGTGATTCTCCCTACATAGTGAAATACTATGGGAGTTACTTCAAGAATTCAGATCTGTGGATTGTGATGGAATATTGTGGTGCAGGATCAGTCTCAGATATCATGCGACTGCGGAAAAAAACTCTTTCTGAAGATGAAATAGCAACAGTCCTTTCAGATGTGCTCAAAGGCCTAGAGTATCTACACCTACGCCGGAAGATACATCGTGACATCAAGGCAGGCAACATCCTTCTGAATTCAGAAGGCCATGCAAAACTGGCAGATTTTGGAGTTGCTGGTCAGCTCACAGATACCATGGCTAAGCGGAACACTGTCATTGGTACACCATTCTGGATGGCTCCTGAAGTCATTGAAGAGATGGGTTACAATTGCGTAGCTGATATTTGGAGCCTGGGCATTACAGCACTTGAGATGGCTGAGGGAAAGCCACCATATGGAGACATCCACCCAATGAGAGCCATCTTCATGATCCCTACAAAACCACCACCATCTTTCAGGCAACCTGACCAATGGTCGCCTGAATTCATTGATTTTGTCACTGGGTGCTTGGTGAAGAACCCAGAGCAACGGGCGACAGCAACAAGTCTTCTAAGTCATGATTTCATTCGCAGTGCCAAACCCTGCTCGATCCTCAGTCAGATGATCATGGAAGCGCAAGAAAAGCGTAAAACACAACAACAAGGTATATCACGCCCTGATCTTCAAGTACCTGAAGCCTCTCCTCAGGCAGATGAAGATGAGGTTGACAGTGATACTATGGTGCGAGGCAGAGATGATGGCACTTTGGTCCCCTCTGCTGGAGACACCAAATCTTCATTAAAAGGGGAATTTGAAAGTGCCATGCATACTATGGTGATAAACACAGATGACGAAGATGAGGAATCCACCATGAAACGATATCCAACTGATGATGGAAACTCCAAGTATTGTCCACCATTTTTAGATCGGGTTGGGAAGTCAGATCTCGAGGTCAGGTCAGCTGAAGAATTTGCCAAAAAGCAAAACGTTTCACATGATGTAAGCCAAACAAAGAATGTAACCCAAGATGTACCAGCACCCACAAAGAAACCACCTGGAAACCAAGAAGCACAGCAGCCAAGCCAAAAGGTGGAACCAGCTGTCCCTCCAGCTTCCAAACCAAATTTATCAGTCCAGGCTCCCCCTCCATCTCCCCAAATTGCCATGATAAATCATAATCTCATTGCCAATCTGAAACACATCTACAATCTGCCTCCCCTGGACAACCCCCCCATAAGATTCCAAAGGCCATTCTCTGATGGGGAATTTGAGTTTCTCAAATTCCTGAACCTGGATGATCTGGAAACCAGACTAAGCAAATTGGACCACGAGATGGAGCAGGAGATCGACGAGTTGCGTCGCAGATACCAGGCGAAGAGGCAACCCATTCTTGATGCCATGGATCAGAAGAGAAAGCGGCAGCAGAACTTCTGACAGTTGAAAACCCCCTTTCAAAGTCATGCTTTGTATTTTCTGTCCTTTTTTTTTTATATCTTAGATATATGTGAACTGACTACTTTTGGCAGAGTGGATATTTAATGTATTTGTCTGCCTGAGACAAAAATAAATATGGAATGCCTTTCTTTGGCTTTCCTTTTCAAAATGAAGCATCACATCTAAGCACCTCCCTTAGATTTCTGTGATGAATGGTGGTGAAACCATGGAGCAACTGAGGTCAGTGTGCTGTGATTTCTCTGAAATGAAAGAGAGGTTTCCCCTTGTTCTCAAGGGAGAACACAGCAGAATATTTCCTTAAAAAACTTTATGGCAAATTTCCATTGACTTGTAGCTGCTGAAGAGGAGTCAATATAGTATTGTACATATGCACATATATGAATTTCTGTATTCAAAGAATAAACTTATTTTACTGAGTGTTTGAAATGCTAAAACTCCAGAACTCTGCATCTAACCTGGTGGAAAGAAGAAGCAGCCTAAAATCAAGAAGCATTGCATGTGCAACAAAAGGATAAAAGTCTTCTTGCCATAACAGGTATTATGTGTGATTGTGAACTCCAAGGTGTGGATGGGAACCTTGAGGTGAGGAGCCCAACTTCAGTGATGAGATGGGTGAGCCTTTTTGCAACTTATTTGTACTGTTGAATTTGTGCTTGTGGAAGTGTGTTGGGACAGTGGGACACTAATACAGCCAGTAGAGGACTGTCTTTTGAGTATGTGTGGAACCACTAGTCATTGGAACTTGGATCCTCGACAATGAAGGAAAATACCAAATTTACCTGTTGCTTAATTCCATGTCAAATCAACACACAAAATAAATTCAGACCTGACCCCCTCCAATTTCCATGAAATTTGCTGAGCTTGTATGGGCTATTGAAAAGCCATCCCATGCCAAAATTGCAGCTCTCTACATCAAGTACTTTCAGAGATGTGACAATTTGAAGGTAGGAAAGTCACCAATTTTGAGTCAAGTCATCAACACTTAGTGCTCATAAGTTTTGTTCTAATCAACATATAAAGCTGATATTAGTGTCTGGTGCCCCTTTAAAGGTCTCTTCATACCCATTATAATGATGTGTGACCCAAGAACTTTCAATGAAAATAGAGGTCAAAGGGTCTGACCTTTGACCTTTAATTCCAGAAGAAAAGATAATAGTGACCGGGCTTCCTTTTGGCCTTGCTGGCGTCTCTTGCACATTTCTTGACCAATGTGTATGGCCAAACGGCCTATTTTAGTCTGATGCCAGTCGTTCCGATTGAATGAACCTTCCCTGATCATTGACCGTTATGGACATCCATCATCTTGATCAGATCGGCCATAGTTCGTGCAAGTGAGTAGCCAACACGAACATATTTCATCATTCTCATCCTGCACGAGCGGACGTTCCGCAAAACAAGTGAGGAAACATTTCGGGTTTGACCTTGGCCGACCGACATACATGCCAAGTACTGAAACGAGAGTGGAACAGCCGTGTGGGGGAAGAGCGGAAGATGGATGAAACTAGAGGCGGGAGGAGTCTTTGGGATATGAATGGAAGGAAAGGGAGGACTCGGGAGGGAGGGGAGGGCGATGCGGGTCGGCCCAAGGCTCAGGGTATCGATTTTCACTCCCTGCTGGAGAGAGAGAATACATTCGGCGTGTGTGTGTTTCAGTATCGCTCGTGCCTCCACAGGGCCTGCTTCGCCAGTGCCATATCGTCCACTTTCATTTCGCCTCATCTCTGCTATGGTAAGATGATCGCAGATAGACCATCCATGAAATTATCCAGTGGAATGCGAGACTTGTCCTGGGCGGGTTCTGCTTTTGCCATGAGCCTCGTCATGTGTCAGTCACAGAACCTCTTCATAACGCCGGCCCTGGCCAAACCTTGGACTCAAGAGTCATTTTATACCCGAGTTTTCAATGCCATATGTTTTATAACCACACGCCCTCTAGTATGTGCCCTTTTTGAGTGAGTGACCACGGGAAGTTCGAGAGTCTGTGATTACCAAAGACCGCGAAATGCTCTTATTGTGGTTTTCTATCTGCCCGGAATAAAAAAGAAAGAGGGGGGGGGGGGGATTGTGAACAACCTAATGTCATTTGAATTATTTGTCGCCTGACTTTATATGGAATGTTTTGGATTAGAAAGCATGTCCATCGAGGAAAGTGCGATCTACAGCGTTTTTACTTGCGTCATTTGTCCACTTTCCATGAGGGAATTTTCTTAGTCAATTTTAAAATATCTCGTATGAAAATCATTGTAATGAGAGCCTACATGCTGCAGCAGTCTTAACCCTAGCTATAATCTTAGGTCCATAGGTCGATAGCAGGATAGAACGTCCCCCATGACTCATCTTCGTGTTCAGACAGGGTTTATCGAAAGCGTAGGAGTAACACAGCTTGTGCCTTGTTCAACATGTCGGACACAGATGCCCGTCACTGCAAAAACGGAAACCGTAGCTGTCAGCCGCACGTGCCAGCACTGGCAGTCAATCCACCAAGAAGTTCATTCCCATTGCATCCTGGAAGAGCTGCAGACTCCTTTATTGTCGCTTCCTGTCCCAAATGGATCTCTCGGGAGCGTCAGCCGTCCCATATTGCAGCCTAGCGTGCCCGATCTCGGATCGAAAGAACTGCACTCCAGGCTTTTGGGGCCATCGATGGCGAATCCCATGTTTCGCGCGTGATTGCATTCGTGTTGATTTTAAAGAAAGACCTTACAAGGATTCTTTGCTCCGTTAGTCATGAGCAAACACTGCGATGGAGTCCCAGCCCATGGCAAATGGTCGGTTCTGCGCGTAGAGCCCTGCATTTATGCTATTTCCTCTGCTGTCTTCTTTTTTTCCTCAAATGGTAAGCAAATAATGTTTCCATGTGGCTTGTATCGATCGAGTCACTGTCATATCCAGAAAATATTAAACCGCGATCGAGGCAATGAACGATGCAAACGATGTCTTTCGCTTGAATTCACATGCCATCTCATGATACGATAATGGGGTAAACCTAGAAGATCTGGATCGATGAAAACTCTTCCACGGAACAAATCTCTCTTCCCACGATGATTTGCTCACTCGGGGGTTGGGAGGCAGGTGGGTGGGAAAGCTCTGATGAATTTTAACGAGAGGGGAAAAACCTCTATCCCCATAGGCGATTGCGTGCCCTTTCTACTAAAAGTTCTACCCTTTTAGTAGATCCTACCCTACCCTTTAGTTTACGTGGAATTAACTCGGGAAAGTGCTTACCTCTTTTTCCCTTCCCTATGGATTCGCATGTTGCACAGTACTTTTTTTGGTTTGGAAATGTCACTGTCGGGCATCGCATCTCTTTGTTTAGTCCCGAAAGTCTCACAGCTTTCTCCTTAGTTTGGTCATTAAAATCACATTTCCCTCTTTTCTTATATTTTCGCACCATTTTCAATTCCCGTTGCACAACGAGGTCGGCTCATGGTGCGCCAAGGCTCAACTTTAAAACAAATGGCCATAAGTCGCACGGAAGCTTGAAACTAAACGCACCAAATTGTAGTTGATTGTCCGATAATCAAACACATTCTGGGTAGAATCATGTTTTTTTGCTGATGTGCTTGTAGATCCTCTAATTCAGGTTCGCTTGTTTTTACTTTATAACCATGCAAATAAAAAGTTGACAAAAATGGGGAAACTCATCAGACTGCAAGCAAAATACGACTGCTTGATAGCATCGGTACAGGCTTTATCATTTATTTACAGTATTCCATCGTGTATTATATTGTGTACTTCATTGCATACTTGTGTGTACATTGTGTACCCTGCCTGTGAAGAATAGGACCCATGTCTCTCCGCTGAGGCCAATCGAGGAATTAGAGGCGTGGCTAAGCGAGAAACACGTTGCCAGGAAGTGGCTCATTCAGTTAGTGGAGCGATTCCAATTTCTCTGATGGAAGTGGACAGAAGAAGTCTGTAGATATGGATACACCTACAAATGTGCCTGGAGATGCACCCAGGAATAAGTTCTGTACGGGATAAGAACTCCTCGTGGTCCGAGAATATCGAGGAAAGTTTCGAGGCGAGACAGAGCAAACTTGCCCGAACTTCCGAAGAATGAAGGAAGAACGTCTTCGCCGAAGACGCCGCCGTCTCTTTTCGAGGAGGCACTTGGCTCGAGTGTTTCGCTGCGAAGCCATGCTGAAACTCTGAAGACTCTGAACTCGATTTCGTCGACGTGATCGATCGTTTCACCGGGGTCGGTCGATTGGGATTCGTGCATCAGGCAGATGCATGCATCAGATTGACACTTGAAGGAGATCGCGATGAGGGTGGCTTAACTGATAAGGCCGAGTCCCTCTTCCCTTCTCTTAAGCCACCTCTCTTTTGAGCCTTTTTTTTTTCAAATTGGAGGACTGTTGGGATGATAAGGGCTGGTCTTGGCATGCATCAGGGTGCGCATCGCCTTAGCGTGAAGGTGAATGCTGTATGGCCTTGGAGGTCCCAGTCTGAGGGAAGGGGATCAATCGGGTGGAAGTCGCATCCGAAAGGGGGAAGGCGAGGGAAGGGGAAGTCCTCGAGGACTTCCCTCTTTTTTTCCTCGCCGTCGTCGGGTGAGGGTAGCGCAGTTCGCGCTCGGCCTCATTCTGAGACGGGATTCTCCGCTCGGTCGTCGAATTCAGAACAGGAACGACGCGCGCCATGACCTGCCCGGTGATCTCAAGAGTCACGGTCATTGTCATTGCGCCGTGCTTTAACTATGATTGCACGACGGCGAAGTGGGAAAGGAGGAAGGCGTTTTCAGGTTTCAAGATTTTCAGCCATCCTTTGACTTTGAAGCTTTCCTCGATGTTCTTAGAAATAATTAGGCGTTTCAGTTCCACGTTTTATTAATGAGCTCGTTCTGAGTGCTTTTTAAGGGTAATTAGATCCACCCCCATTACAGTAGAGCATTTTTCCTACTTGTCATTTCAAGAATCACCCTTCGACCTTGAGACTCAAATCGATTTCTAGGCACCCTACTGGGAGATCGTTTTTCAATTTTTTAATTCATGACGTTCGACTCGTTCATGATTTGCGTGCGAATTGTCTTTTCTCCAAGTGTCACCACCGCGCGGCGCCGGTTTCCGTTCGAGGTCAGGCACGGACGGCAGCCGTGCGCTGATGTCGCGGCTGCGAGGATTCGCGGATGGAACTCGTTCGCGGTCGGTCCCAGACCTCGCGGGTCTCGCAGCGCCCCCGCCGGGGGCGGGGGTTCATGGCGGGGCGATGGGCGCCGGGGTTCATGCTGAGCCCTGCCTCCGTCGGATCGACTAACCGATCTGGAGCAAACGGATCGAGTCGGCGAAAATGATATATCGGAAATGGCACCTTCTTTTTTTTCGCTTAACCCACCACATAACGTGGGAATTGACATCAGTAAAGCCACCCACCCTCTTTATTTGTTATCTGCACGATGTGCCAACTTGGTGCATGCGTCACTACGGCATCAGGCTGATGCATGCTGTGCATTCTAAGTAGGGATGATGCATGACACAAATCTCACTGATGTATGCCTTGGGTTGATGAGCGCATCCCAATTAACCAACGCGAACGAAACACTCCAAGTCGGCGAAATGAGTTCGGCGACGTAGTCTCGGCATGTCTTCCCAGTCGAAGACCCGGGGGAAGAAGAGAAGAAAAGTGGCGTTTGCAGTCGTTCCTTTGTTCCTCGGGCCCGTCCCGTTCCCCTGAAACTTTCATCGATATTCCTCGACATCATCAGGAGCTTTTGTCCCCCCGTTTCATTAATAAACTTCTTCTGAGTGCTCCTGCATGTCATTAGAGGGACCATCGCATACCCTTTGCATGATGGCACTTAGCGATTTTTCTCGTCGTCCTTCGCTCTAATCGATTTCATGACGTGCTGTTGGGAGTTTGTTTACCGAATTCCACCAATATCATTCAACTCTTTGGTTTTGTAATTTAAATTGCGGCCGGTGTCTGCATCCTAGGTGCAACGACCGACCCCGACCGCATGATGCCGCGAGACAAAAAAATCATGCCAACTCGCCATGTTCTGTTTTGCTTCATGAATTCGCCAGTACTCGCGTCTCGTGCCCCAGTACTCGCGTCTCGTGCCCAGTAGGAGACCGTCGATTCGAGCGATCTTTACCATGTGCCGATTTCTCTCTCAGTGGGGCACCTCCGAGAATCCATTCTCAAATTTTCGCGATGTTCGATGCATCCAAGCCCAAATTACTCTGTTGGGACTCGATTCAGTGACATCTGGTAAAGTAATTTACGTACAGTTAATTGAGTCGAATCACCTAAAAGGACAGACGTCCACTTGCCCTCATCTCGTCCACTGGGGACAGTCGTAGCCTTGACATTCGATTCCAAGGAGACTTCCAGCGTAGGATGGTGACGGATCAACTCCTTGGCGGCCGTTCTCTCATTAGGAAGAGTGGAGGCGCGGATCGGATCTCCATTCCCATGGGTGAGACACGAAGTGGCTCGAGTGGAGTGGAGTGCGCGGAAATGGAGTCTCTGTCTTCCTGGTTTTTTTTTTTTTTGGGGGGGGGGGGGGGGGGGGTAATTGAGTGACAAGGCTTCTAAAACNGGGGGGGGGGGGGGGGGGGGGGGACTACATGCTTGCGCCAGGGCGGAATATGCCCTGGATAGTTCGAGAATATATTTTCTTAAATTAAAAAAAATGGGGGTGTTTCGTAATTGGATGACAGTGTTCGAAAGTTTGCGGCACTCTTCAGAATCTAATATCTTAGCCCCGGGAGCCCTAATGAAGTGGCTTTTTATACCCTAGGTATGAAAGTCTTGGCTCTGTGGAACCACCACTGACGGCATGAGGCGTGTAGACATTTTTCATAAATTTTCATCGGAATCCGCCTGGTTAAATTATTTAGCATGGGACGATGAAATCCTATTAGGGGCTACAGACGAAAGGCACTGGACCGTTTTGCGGCTCCTGGTGTGACCATTGCGATATAAAAGTCGGAGTTTCTAAGTTTCTTAATCGTTCCAGACAACTATCAGAGCAAATTCAGGAGAAATAATGGCCCAGCCGATGCTATTAGTAGTAGCTTCTTATAGACGAGATATCTCAGGTTACGAAAAAAAAGTCGGAATGGTTCACCAATTATCGAGAAACTCGAGCATGAAAAACTAATGCAATACTAATAAAGGTCTGTATATTTCTCAGCAAGGTGAGAGGTTCCTTTGGCATTTCGGAGCAAAACATGACAGAGATGTAGGGTAAAAGCCCCTAGTGGTGGATCGTGATAGAGTTAGTCCAACGTAACAGTATCAATATTTGACAGGAATCGCGGTTTCTAATCATTGATGGTCACATGCTTTCGGTCACGTGGTATCACTATCCTGGCGGTAGGTAGTGTTAAACGGTGACGTCACAAAAATCTCTGCCTCCTGTCTTTAACATGATCCATCACTGGGTGCTTTCATCATTTAATACTTCTGATATGTGAGACTCAGTAGAGAATGATAGAAGGGAGCCTGTCATGGGAGCGGGGACCGTGCGTCAGGGAGATCCTCGAGAATCCTCGAGCGCCCGGCTTCACTTTCCGGTGGCTTTTGCTTAGTAGATCTCTAGGCGATCCATAAGAAGGGAGTAAGTCAAGAGTGTTGCCTGGACTCGAGCGGGAGTCATCCGTTGGAGCCTCGCAGCACTCGAATAAGAGAAGGGGTTATTTTGTATTCGGACGGCGGTTATATAAGAGGGAAGTAGACCCTTTCGTGGCAAAGAGCTAAGCGGGTATTTGTCTAATTCAAATGCATGGCCGAAGTTGAGCAATTCGCTTAGATGAAGTATACGTTTGGGATGGAATACAGATCCTCATGGAGTCCTAACCATTCTCCCTGCCGACCGGATTATTCCTGCCTTTCAACTCAAAAATTGCTCATCTTCGGGGTCTCTCAAGTACAATGCTGTTTTTAGAGCGGTCAAGGCGATCTGACCGGTGCAGATCATCTTTCCAGTGGCCTTCAAGGGGAACTCATGTTTTATTGTTAATCTGTGGCGTCATCATGCGAGAGTGTGGGGTATTTGTCATGTATATTTTATGAGGTAATATCGAATATTACGTGGTACATTTCACGAGGGTGACGGTTGTTCCGCAGAAATTTCATTACGTTGGAGGATAGAAATCCTGCGACGGTATCTACCCGGGAGTTTCTCTTTCGGGAACTTCCCGCGAATCGTCTCCACTCGTATATCGACTGGGCAAACAGACAGGCATGACCCTGCACCCGACTCGCTTTGTTGTTGGACGCAGTCGAGCACCTTAATTGCGGGGCTCTTTATATGGGTTCGTCGCGAGAGAGAGAGAGAGAGAGAAGCCATTTCCAGCCGGATGTGCATGCATTGTTCATGTCTCACCGGGACCAGGGAAACGAGAGACCGAACTTTTCGTAGGTGAAAACCGTAATCAAAGACTGGAAGATGCGTGGAAAACTCCCGAGAGAGATCACGGGATGGGAATGTCGTGTCATCTCGTCGAGTGACGTCAAAGGCGCTTTTTCTGGAGTTGGACCATCGATGGCCTTCGCTTCACCTTTCCCCTTTAAGCCTTTGCTCTTGAATATTGCCCGGAACGCACATCACAATTTTCAATTTCGAGCCAGACTCGCTCTGCTGCTTCATGGCTGGTTTTTGTTAAACGAAAGCGAGAAGCCGTGGAGAATGGATTTCTCCAAGCGGAAAGGATGCGTTGACCCGTCGGAAAGGGAGAAAAGAGTTTTGTTTCATGGGTTGCAGAGAGGCCTGCGATGACGAGGAAGCGGAAGGGAGTGTGAGAGCGTATTCGACTGGAGAGGACTGCTAGGGTGGACGTATTCGACTCGAGAGAACTGCTGAGTGGAGATGTCGTCCGTGAAAGTGGCCGTCCGGGTTCGACCGTTCAACAACAGGGAAACAAGCCGGGATTGCAAGTGCATCATCTCTATGCATGGCAAAACTACTGGTGAGTCTCGTTGCACTCCTCTGGTGAATTCTGAGCAGCATGGGGAACGTAGAAGGCACGGAAGATGGGATGAGATGGTCTGAGTTGATGCATTGTTCTGCTCATAACGTTTGCGGTCCCCATCAGTGATCACTGAGGCAGGAGAGGTACAAAGGGAAACAGGGTAGAACCAGGTTCCTCTATGGAATTGGCTGATGGGAACCATTGTGGCTCATTTCCTTTATTTGTGATGTATATATATATTTGGTGGCCTCTGCCTCCCAACCATTTCACGAGAACAACTCAAGTCCTGCGGTATACCATTAGTACTTTCTCGCAGAAGAAACAGAGCATGTATGTAAGACACTGCGTATGACTTTCCCTCCCTCGGTACAACGTAGAAAAATAATGGTATGGCATCAGCTGGTAAAATAAGGAAACCAGATTGCGACTTGCGAATCATTTGCGAGGACGTATTGCCTAGTGGTATTCATTATGTTCTAAGACTTTAATGAAAACCTCAACTTCATCGTAGTCTGCAGCATCAAAGCAAGCAAATTTTTAATTTAGCAAGTTTATGTAGTAACTTCCTTAATGAAAATGGAATATTTTTGGAACGGATTGAAGGATTACCCCAGATGTGGACAACCATGCTCTATGAATTAACGGGAAGCTACAACCATAACGGCATTGCGTGAACCATGTGGCCCCTCCCGTGACAAATCTAGTACCACTCTATTTACCTCAGCTGCTACCTCCGCAGGGATTGCAGGTCGGCCGCCGCTTTCGTTGCCCTCGACGCTTGATGGGGGTTGTCGGCTTCCGCGGTCGGCGGGGTCCGGTCCGAGCGCCATTCTCCATGTGGTGTGCCCGAAGGCATCAATCAACATTGCGTCCGTTTGAGTTAAAGCAGGTTGCTAAAAGCCATGCATTGTGGCTGGTTGTGACTGCACCGTTTATACCCAAACCTGAATGCAGATTTATGCAAATTTGCGTCATCTGTTTAAAAGCATATGCTAAAAGGCGACATAGTATCTTGAGTGATTATCTCCATTTTCATGCAAATCCATCGAGCCGTTCTGGGGATGTGCCATTTTTATTCAGTGCAGTTACTCTTTTAACACTGTATTTTTTGGGTTTGTAGACCTGCACATCATATAAAGTTTACAGATCTAATCAACAATATGGTACTCTGAAAGAAAGAAAGAAAACTTTGCCGATGCACACAAGTGCCACAAGTGTGCCATGATAGTTGGCGTTCACACCTTCATCCTGTCTTCTTGCCCCTCATTCCTATAAAAATATATGTAACGGACCCAATGCTGAGTTAAAAGTAGATGAGAAAACAGAGTGAGTATTCAAGATGTCACATTTTCCTAGGAAAGTTAGAACAGTTTGTAGTGACTGCCTTTTTAATTGGCAATTCTTTTGAGACTCATTCATGATTGAAATATCACAGTACTGTTGTGAAATCAATGATTCCAGTCTACAGCTTGATAATGGCATAGAAGTTAGTTTCTTTCACTGACTGAGAGCTTTTCTTTTGGAGTTTCTGAATGCTGATTACTCCCAGTAAAACACTTGACATTTCAGAAAAGATCTTTTGATTTTTCATATGAGAAATTAATTTTAAACTGAGGTTTCCAGGGCATTTTTTTAGACACTGTGAATGAACTAGTGGGGCTGCAAGTGAGGGTGCAACTATCAACTCATGAAACAAAGTGGGATGGGGACACATTTGCCATCACTAGCCCAAAGTTTTGCACCCATGTTGAAATGGTGGGCTCTTCAATTCATTTCTCGACCTCTTTTGTGTTTTCAGTGATCCATGATCCCAAAGCTCCTCCAGGGTCCAAAGAAGGAATTAAGAGCTTCAATTATGATTACTCCTATTTTTCCCATGATGTAAGTTCTTCCTAATGGTATTGATAGCCAATCTCATGCAGTTTATCCTGATACTCAAAATCATGGATTTTTTCTTTCCTAGACTAATGATCCGAATTTCGCCTCGCAAAATGATGTCTATGAGGATATTGGTGAGGAGATGCTGAAGCATGCATTTGAAGGTGAACTTTTTTTTCTGAATTTACCAATCTCTTTTCTTTCAGTACCAACTTGATAAACCCTATGATTCCTCTCTAGGGTACAATGTGTGCATTTTTGCTTATGGACAAACGGGAGCCGGGAAGTCTTACACGATGATGGGGAAGCAAGAGGAGGGACAGGAAGGAATCATCCCACAACTCTGCAAGGATCTCTTTCGCAAGGTCCATCAAGACACTTCTGGCACCCAGTACTCTCTAGAAGTGCGTTCCTTTAAACATAGCCTCCTGCAGGGTAGACCAAGAGAACCTAGTATAATGCTTTGATAATTTATTTTCAAAGCATTATACTATTATAGAAAGAACTAGAATCCATTGATGAGCAATGTATTTGATGCTTGTTGAAGTCAGTGATTAAAAATATCAGTAGGTTTGTCATCATATTGAACAACAACACCTTGCAAATATGACTACAACTGGAAAATATCCTCATCCAAATTTCGCTGGGAGGTAGCTCCTCCCCACTTTTTGATTGCCTTTGCTTGCAGATTCAAGAAGATGATGTACCTTTAAAAAAAAATTTTTAGCACTTCCCAAGCTGCATAACCTGGACAGTGCAAGTCAGGCTCATTTGGTGACTAAATCTTGGTTTTGCTTGTTCTTTAGCAATTGATGCATCTACCAGAAAGGTAATGCCACATCCCTAAGGTCAAATCTGCCACTGCCTTGCATTGGAACATACCAGCTTTGCTAGAACCCGAACTTTGATCACTGAAGAGTCCTGATATATCCTATTTTGATAAAACAGTTTGGGGAGCATTAATAAAAGTACTTTGCAGGAAGACCAACCTTCTGAACATGAAGGAATTCACAAAGATCTTTTGAGACTAGGGTGATCTCTGTTTCTACAATCTTTTGATAGACTGGTGGATGCAATATTCAGCATGTTCTTCAAAGTGATGCAATCCATATTGGACATTCTTTTCACTGACCTTTTGAAAGAGTTTCAGTATTCAAATATGTTGGATTCAAGTCCAATGGATTCCATCTCTCTCTGGTGAATAACTTATTGAAGATCCAAACAACTTTTTTTGGCTCACAAAGGAGATTTATTCTGAATATTTGCTCTCAGGTCAGCTATATGGAGATCTACTGTGAGCGGGTAAGGGACTTGCTGAACCCAAAGAACAAGGGAAACCTGCGAGTCCGAGAGCATCCTTTACTTGGCCCATATGTGGAAGACCTTTCCAAGTTGGCTGTCATGTCCTATAATGACATCTTTGAGCTCATGGATGAAGGCAACAAAGCAAGGTAAAACTAAATTTCATCCAGCTTGCTATTTTTCTTATTTCTAAGGGAGAAGCTGGCAGTAGAAACCCACACACAGGAAGGTGTTGAAGAATTGGACTTCACCCATTTTTCAGGTTTTTTGCTTTCAACTTTGAGGTTATTTTGATACTTGAGTTTTCAGGAATTTGATCTTCATTGTACATATCTGTTTCTCTATTACTCTTGGTTTGGTACCCATCATGCATCTGCATGTGAATGCCAATATTGCGAAGGATGGGTGAGGTCCAGAACACTGCAGCATCTTCCTGTGCATGTTCATGCCAATGACATTGATCTCTAAAAAAGGCAGAATGAAATGCACTCTCTCTGATCACTGTATCTGGGAAAGTTTTCAACTGAAGATGACATTTTTGGTGCAGAACGGTGGCAGCAACAAACATGAACGAGACATCTAGCCGTTCCCATGCCGTCTTCACCATCCTCTTCACACAGAAAATCATTGACAAGCCAACAAACTTGGCATGTGAGAAAGTGAGCAAGATCTCCTTGGTTGACCTGGCTGGGTCAGAAAGGGCAGATTCTACAGGGGCCAAGGGAACAAGACTTAAAGAAGGAGCCAACATCAACAAGTCTCTATCCACTTTGGGGAAGGTCATCTCTGCCCTGGCTGATATTGTGAGCATTTCTTTCCCTCTTTACTCCCAAAATTTCAAATTAAAATGCATTCTGCCCAATAATTAAAGATTGGATTTGTATTTATCCCTTTTATGCAAATTTTGTGGAGCAGTCAGTGAGTTTTGCTTATAAACTAGTTTTCAGGGTTTGGTATTTTCACTTTTGGGGGTGTTCAAATTCAACAAAGTTGATTTGTGATGTTATTTTTTGTTCCACTTTTTTCTGTTTTTAATAATTACTTTCATCTCATATTTATGTTTCCATTCCAGACCTACTGTATGTTTCTTTTTTCTAAAGGCATCTAATAAGAGGAAGAAGCTGGACTTCATCCCGTATAGAGATTCGGTTCTCACTTGGCTCCTGAAAGAAAACTTGGGTGGGAACTCCAAGACTGCTATGATTGCTGCCATCAGCCCAGCTGACATCAACTATGAGGAGACACTTTCCACACTCAGGCAAATTTGCATAAAATAATCAGCACCTGCCCAGTTCTTTGGGGGAATTAGCCAAAGAATAAAGAAAACTAAGTCATTTTTTGTCCTGTGCAGGTATGCAGACCGTGCGAAGCAGATAGTATGCAAGGCAATCATCAACGAGGATGCAAATGCTAAACTCATTCGGGAGCTGAAGGAAGAGATCCAGAGGCTGAGGGAACTTCTGCGAGCAGAGGGCATTGAGGTTGAAGAGGGTAAGTCATCATGAGAGCACCATCACTTTGCATAATTTCTCTAACTCACTTGCCTAAACATGACCCTTGATGGTGAATGGAAGGGAATGAGGTTTGCATTTGCTGATGCACTTTTTTGTCTTAGCACAGTGTCAAGGCACAGAATGGAAAGGTACTGGTAACAGGTCTCAATAATTACTTTCAGTAACAGTATCATCATTTTTTAAGTTTATCCCCTCTTGAATTCCAAGATGGGTTTTTTCTTCATTCAAATGAGTTCATTCCATTGAAGTTTTTCTAATTTGCATAATCATTTCATTTACTTCTTATTGAGTTTATTCTAAAGCATTAATTCTTAGCTTTCTTGATTTTTTTATTTTATTGCCTCTGTTGTGTCATTATTGTTCTTTTGTGCCTGGAAGAAATCCAAGTTTATTTTTGGATTTTAGGGCCTGATGGGATAGTTGTGATCCGCACGAAACGGACTGACGGTCAGTGAGTTTGTCCAGTTGATGTTGTAGAAGCAGACGGCTAATTCTCTTCCTTTGCCTCAGACGCTTTTCCAGCCTCTCCTTCACGCTTCATCTCATCCACTCACATTACGATTCCCTTGCTACTCATGTGCAGCTGCTTTATTTCCTTGTTTTGCACTGCCTGGACAGCTTCCATTTACTTTTTGAGGAGTTGAGCAATGCAATAACAAGTCTTCATCTCTTTCTAAGGGTCTGGTTTCATGGCACAGTTTGTTGCATTCAGCATATTGAACCAGAAACTTGAAGAAGATTTTGATTCTTTAAGAAGTGTGACTCATATCTACTTATTCCTCCTTAGTCAAAAAATTTTCTAGATGGATGAAAGGGATTGGATTAAAGTAATGTGTTTCATTTAATTTGTAGAATCCCCCTGCTGAACCCTGGAGGTACAATTCAACAGATTCAAGTAGATTAATTATACATTGAAACTTATGATCAATCAATCAGCTATCCAAATGAAGCAAAATGACAGTTTAGCATAACTCTATTGTTAGGAGATGATGCCATTCCTTTTTTTCTGCTCAACGAAACTGTCATTCTTGATGGAGTCAAACTATTTCATTCCCTGCATGAATATTTTTTTTTACATATGCTAGGCAAAATTGTGATGGCCCATGCATACTGCTTCCAAATAGCAATGGCAAAACCCTTTTGGCTTTCTGCTAGAATTACAGTAAATTGTAAACTGCAGAAGGGTGTGAGGTATCACATGCACTTGTTGCTTTGCTCTTTATTTTTTAGTGACAAGTGCATTTTCTTTAAGCGCATCCCAATTGTAGTTTTTCTACACGATCCAACACATCTTTAGGTGACACTTACTTTGATCTCCACCATTCTAATCTTCTTTCTTATGGATGATGGAGCGGTTTTTTTTATCATTCTAATGAAAAGGCATAACTGGAATCGATTTGCCCATTTCTAGTACATTGCTGACTGCTCTGTGATGAGAGATTTCCACACATGACTGCAGCTAGCTGTGACTTAGCTGTAGATACAGTTTAATTCTGGAATCAGTGTGTATTGGCCTTCACATATTTGCAATTTATAAATAAAAAGAGGAAGCTCTGACCTTCAACTGTAATCATTTTGCATACATTGTTAAAAGCCCATGGAGGCTTCCCCATTGAAGTCTATTAAGAGACAAAAGATCCATTGTTGGCAGAATGTAATACTTTCCTCCATAGATTTCAATAGTAAGTCTCTATGGCCATTGTATGCAATTTTTTTCCAAGTTTCTTCTTTATTGAGTTGCAATGAATGATGGTCCCAGGTGATGAAGGAGGATCAGTGGTAAAGAAACCAGATGGCCGACAGCGTTCACGTAATGTATCCTCGGTTGTTGAGGATGCTGTAGATCAACTCCAGGAAAATGAGAAGCTGATTGCTGGTGAGCCACCATCCAATTTTCTGAGAGGCCTTCAAGGTAGTTTTAATGGAGTGATTATGTGATTCATGACCTGCACAGAGTTGAGGGAGACATGGGAGGAGAAACTGAAGCGAACTGAGGCAATACGTCTCCAGCGGGAAGCTGTTTTTGCTGAGATGGGGGTTGCCATCAAGGGTGATGGCTCCACTGTTGGCATCTTTTCACCAAAGAAGGTTTAAAAGTTTTTCTTACACTTTTTTTTTTTTACCAATTGCACATGTTAATTTTCCTCAAGCAACAGAGGATAACCAATTGATAACCAATATTATTTTTATTGCAGACACCTCACTTGGTGAACCTCAACGAGGACCCATCTATGTCTGAGTGCCTGCTATATTACATCAAGGATGGTATTACCCGTGTGGGGTCAGCAGGGGCTAAGGACCCACAGGACATTCAACTGTGTGGCTCTCACATCCTTCCCCAGCACTGTGTGTTTCAAAACAAGGAAGGGAGTGTCTTCCTCCTTCCTGCCCCCACAGCCCAGTGTTTTGTAAATGGGAGAGCCATCACTGAAGCTGCTCCCCTCAAACATGGATCAAGGGTTATTCTGGGCAAGAATCATGTCTTCAGATTCAATCATCCTGAACAAGGTCTGTCATCCTCACTGCATGACCACCAAGTGATAACTGGTTCAAAAGGAAGAGGTTTTATATATTGATAATGGTCCCTTTTTCTGGGTCATACGTATATCATGTGCTAGTCTGACTTCACTGCCTTCTTATCTGAGAAAAAATTTCTAGAAATTATATGACCTATTTGCAAATGCAATTTATGGTGACAAAAAGGCATCACAGAAGATAGTTGATTTACAAAAAATATTTTCCACATCTTGAAGCACGAGAACGTCGTGGAGGACGGAGTCCAGCAGAGACTCCAGGAGGAGACAGGGCAGACTGGGACTTTGCAACGGTGGAACTATACGAGAAGCAAGGGATTGACCTACGAGTGGAGATGCAGCGGGAGATGGAACGTCAACTGAAGGCCCTTGAGGCTCAGTTCATGAAGGAGAAACAGGAGGCTGATCGTGTCTTTGAGCAAGAGAGAAAGGCAGGGCAACATTCTTTTCACTTTCATCTGTCCTGATTCTTGTCTTTATGTTTTAGAAAGAGTTGAATTTTGTCTTTGTAGACATATGAGGAAAGGATTGATGCCCTACAGAAGCAAGTTGAGGAGCAGAGCATGACTTTATCCATGTACAGCTCATGCACAACTGATGACTTCCATGATGAGGACATCTTTGGTATCATCGCTTCCTTAATTTAAATTTTTTATACCTGTTTTTACTCTTTGCATTCTCTTCCATTTTCTTTATTCATGCTTTTTTCCAGTTTTCTTCTTTTTTTATTCAGTGGTCTTTTTTTTCTATGCAGTAAACCCACTGTTTGAGGGAGAGTGCAATTGGACAGAGAAGGAGGTGGAACTGGCTGCATACACATTTGAAAAGTGGCGTCACCATCAGTTTACCTCTCTCAGGGACCACCTGTGGGGAAATGCCATTTTCCTTAAGGAGGCAAATGCTATTTCAGTTGAACTCAAGAAAAAGGTGGGCCTGAATAATTCATCTCTCTTGTCTGCTATGCTTTCCATCTCCACATTACCCAAGTGTGTCTTTTCTAAAGGTTGCATTCCAGTTCACACTCCTGACAGACACAATGTACTCCCCACTACCACCAGATCTCAAGCCACTGCCTTTCAATACTGACAGCTCATGGCCACCAAGGACTGTTGTGGCTGTTGAAGTGACTGACACCAAAAATGGAGCTACACATTATTGGAGTTTGGAGAAGTTGCGGTCAGTCACATCCCTACATGACTAACTCTTGTGCAATGCATCAGAAATGAAACATTGAGAACCTCTCTGTCTGTAGGAAAGCACATGCACTTGTAGTAAAGCCTTGGTCACAGGCATGTATCCTTAGAACCTCTCTCCCTTTGGCAATTTTTTTAAGTGAAAGTCCTTTAGAGCATCAAGGCAGGTGTTCATAGGAACGAAGTCTTCTATACCCTGTTGTTGAGGCAAGCATTGCATGCTGATCTTTCTTCAATGTCCATTCATAGACCTATTATTTCAATGCATTTGAAAAATCATGTTTTCCTGCTTCTAATCTCAAGGGAGTTCTTCATTAGGACCTATCTTTCACGCAAAAGATCCTGCATTCACCCAAAGGAATGTATGCATGCATGACATTGGTCTTAATGAGGTTCAAGGGGAGGATTTAGATAAAGCAGAGGGATGCCTGGGATTCCAGAAAAATTTGGGCCATGGGTATGAGCCTGTTGTACCTGATAGCCCACTGTATGGTATTATATCATGTGGCGACATTTTGCACAGAAACACTTCCCCTGGAACACAACAATTATTAAATACTTTCTAGCACTCAGAGCATTTGTATTCAAGAATTCCTGCACCTAATCAACTATGTGATTCTGAATAATGTTGAAAATTTTTCCTCAATGACAGGAAAGGTATTGTCTCAATGACCTTCCAAGAAGGGAATTACTACAACCTCAGTTATTACATGGGGAAATATTAAAAGAGGGCTTGTAATTTTCTTCATCATTCATCTGATGGGGTACTATAACATCTAGACTAGATAACATCATATAAGACTGAAGAAGGGAAGGCATGAGGAAACTGGCACATTACCAATAGCCTTGAAAAAGATCTTTGCACAGTAATCAATAGATCCATGACAAATCTTCAAACAGTATTTTATTAACCATTGCATTCACAAAAAAATGGGGAATTCATGAATTTTTATGAGACATAATGAAATCAAATGAAAAGATTTGGAAGTTCAAGGTTCAGAGTTAAGGTAGGGACATCAAGAGACACATTTGCTCATTATGACATCCTGCATCAAAGTAGAACAAATGAGAACAGGTTTACACTGAGTAGTATACTTGCATGAAAGTTACTTACATGAGGAATCTTTTCCTTAGATGTCTGTAGGAGTATTTTCAAAAAAATAGTTTTTCTTCATTTTCTTGTGAGTGTGCAAAAAATACTGAGTAGGCATTCATCCATGAATAAATTTCATGTGAGTTTCTCAAGATTGTAAACCCACCAAAAGGCAAGTCATTCTCACTTTGACTATGGGTGTTACTTCTAAGTGCAGGAGCTTCTACATTTCCCTGAATGTAACCTATTCAAGAATACTTTGCATATATGTAGGATTTGCACGTCTGCAAAGACAAGAAAATCATTGCTTTTGCATGGGATGAGGATCTCCTCCGTAACAATAGGACTACTGCTTGCCAGATATGCAAATGACCTCCATTACTGGTAAATAAAGTGTATGAGGAATGAGAAATGAAAGGGAGAAGGAACCAGCCTCGAAGCAGCCTTGTGCCACTTGAATCCTTGTTGCTGCAGGTATCGGGTGGAACTAATGCGGCAAATATACAATGATAACGATTTGAGCCCCGGGTCTCCGCAGCCAAGGCCGAGCTTTTCCCAGTGCTTTTCTATCTGTTCGGCTCAGGGCTTCTCCTTTGCCAGTCTCCTACCTTCGAGGTTGGTCTTCCTCTGGCTCCCTGCTTACCTCGGAATGCCTCTCTTCGTCATGCCTCTCACTTCAATACCCTCCTTATGGCTGAATTGTCTTTGTGCTTTCTGCTTACCAGCTTGGCTATGTCAGGACCTTCATCATCTGGTATTTCTGCCACTTATTGGCACTATGAGAAAGGGGAAATTAGGAACAGTGGTTTAAGTCCCACCCTTGGTACCTGCTTTAAACAATTGCATGTTTTTTTCATGTGAATCAAGGAAAATCTCATGTGTTGGGAAGACTAGAATGAATCAGTTTCAAAGCATCAGCAAGTCATTTATTTGACTTGAAGTCCTGGTTGCTATATGGTGTACTCTATGACTTTGGTGTTTTATCAGGTCTGCATACTGCATGCATGCCCTGCATAAGTTGTTGCATTTGATTTGCACCTGCAGTGTTGCCTCTCTAATAACATGAATTTGGTTGAACTTATTCACCTCTGTGCTTTGACGATGTGATATTCTTACAGACAGCGACTGGAGTTGATGCGTGAGATGTACCACAATGAGGCTGAGCTGTCTCCCACATCCCCAGAGTCAAACGTAGAATCATTCACAGGCGGGGACCCATTCTATGATCGCTTCCCATGGTTTCGGCTGGTAGGCAGAGCCTTTGTCTACCTCTCCAATCTCCTCTATCCGGTGACCCTTGTACACAAGGTTCCCATTGTCAATGAGAAAGGAGAAGTGCATGGGTACATTCGTGTGGCCATTCAGGCTGTCACTGGTGAGTCCTCCCCAAGAATTACTGGATGCAAATTTAATATTTTTTAAAACTAAGAAATGGCTCAACAGCTACTGCAAATTGTAGGACAGCTTATCACTTTAAAATATAATGCAAGTTTGTGTATTTTAATTAAGTCCCTAATTTCCTCCCTAATGTGGAAATTGGAAAATAAATTAAGTTCTGTGCCAGGTTTTCTTTCTGAACTCTTTTTTTGCTGGAAAGGACCATGCTAAAATGATGAATGCCTTTTACTATCCATCCTTTCATCAGATTCAAATTACAAGACATTAATTTTTGGTTCTTTTGCACAGCAAAATTGGATTTAAAAACTCAGGTATTCAAGGAGTGATTAAATGTTAAAGTTTTACATTTAAATTGAACTTATTTATATTTTAGCCATTTCAATTTTTCTTGGGTCATGATTTCAGCACTCACCTGTTACTTGATCTACTCTTATTGGCATCCTGAAACTTTTTATTGTTCTGAAATAGGAATGAAGGTTAAAATTGTTAACATTTGAATAATGAATATAGAACTGTGAATGCAGTTAACCAGTCAATCCTCATTTTACCACCGCTCAATATGGCAAGACCCTTGCATATCACCAACCTCTTCCTGTGGACATAACTCCCCCATAAACTGAAAATAGAGAATATCGTTAATTTGGTGAAGCACCATCCATGTTATAAGGCCAAAATTTGCAATGACCAACAGTGACATTATATTGAGGGCTGAATTCACTGAAGTTAAAATAACAAATCAGAGTATGAGTGAAAGCTGATCAAGAAAGAAATATTTTCCCAGCCCTAAAAATGAAGTCATTCTTGATAGTAGGAACATGAATGATGTTTGAACTTCACAGATGATGACCCAGGTCCTGATTATGCATCGGGAGTGAAACAGTCGGCACGAATAAACTTCACAGAACCAAACCATTTGCCATCCTTTTATCTGGGGCTGCCTCCTTCGCGTCATCAGTACATAAGGCACATCGAGTCCGACTCAAGAATCTCAGAGCTCCCTGACGAGCGAATAGTTGAGGGTCAGGGTCTCAACCAAGAGAATGAGCTCGAAGGTAGGTCTTGTCGTCTGTATCGTTATATTCTTCTTTGTAAGAGTGTGTCTCATTGAGGAAGGCCTGACTTCATCCAGAAGCAATGGTTGAAAGCAAGAAGAGTGAGGAGAGGGAGAAAGAGAAGGAAGGAGCAGGGGAGGGGGCAAAGGAAGACTTGCCAGAACACCTGCAAATGGGGAAGGATTTCAATTTCAGGGTCACTGTGCTTCAAGCTGTTGCCATTCCTAGTGAATACTCAGACATCTTCTGTCAATTCAAGTCTGTTTTGTTCTGCTTGCAATTTTTGAAGTGACACGAGTGCATCTTCTGAACTGGGTCTTTCTCTCATCCACTTCAGTTTCCTGCATCGTCACGATGAAGCTTTCTCCACTGAACCTATCAAGAACTGTGGGAAAGGGACCCCTCTTGGATTCTATCATGTTCAGAATGTGAGTTTCAGTCTGTGGGTCATTCCCAGCTTGAGCTAAATCTGATTTCAATAACCCTCACGGGAAGGAATTTAGAAAACAGGTTTGCACGCATGTTTCACACATTACCTTCACCCAGAGAAAAAGCTCCTGAGTGCTTCACGTGTGGAGCCTTACTATTTGAAAGATGTGTGTAGTGCTACTTCCGCAATGCCATCTTGTGCGCATTTCTACCACTCGCGTCGGTCTATACAAGCGGCAGATTGATGCATTCATGAAAAATCTTCGAAAGAAAAAAAGTGCATGAAGAAGATGAAGGAGAAAAGGAGATTTGGTGGAATCAGAGTGCCCATTTCGTACTTATTCACCTTGCAGATCACAGTGACAGTAAATAGGTGTTTTGTGGACTACATCCGAGAGGACCCGATCGTCTTTGAAGTGTTTGGTCACTACCATCAGCATCCCCTCCACAAGGATTCCAGGCAAGAGGCGCACTTGTGAGCAACCCATCCTCTCCTGTCTCGTGCTTAGAGCTGCTTGGGAATCAAATTTAAAATGGCAAATGAGAAGTTTTCAGGTGGAATTGAAGTGGAATGATCCTGCTTCCCAGATCTGGGTTGTTTGAAATTCTCTTAATGTACTTTGATTTTGAAGCTCGGAGTCTTGCATGACGACTGTGATTCCTTGAGTTCCTGGATATCCATAAAACCATACGGAAAGTTTCCATAACTAAAGCTCAGCTTTCTGCGTTCAATCCAGTGTGAATAATGAGGAAGACCCTGTTGAAGTATTTTTGAATGCTTCTGCAGTTGAACTCGGTAGAAAACCCTCATCTTTGCTCAGTAGAAATCCATTTCGAGGATCTGTCTCTCCTCTGTGAGCTTCACGTCGCCCTCTTCCTTTCTCTTTCCTCGCTTCGTGCTTGCTCCCTGGTGGGATCTGTGTCTCTCTGTGTGGCTTCCCGCTTCGATGCATGGCAGTCGCCTTCCCAAGGATTTCCTCGTGCCGTCCAACCGTTCGGACTCGAATTCTTCCAGCTCGGGGCTTCGAGGACCGCCTCACCGCCTGCTGCCTCCGTCTCTCCCCATCTCGCAGCCGGTGAAGTCCCCACGATACGCCGGGCCTGCCCCCTACTCCTCCCCGTGCTGCTCGGCTCACGTCCACGCCAAGCACGATCTCCTCGTCTGGTTCGAAATCTGCGAGCTGGGTTTGTGGGATTCCTTAATCTCACCACATCAGTGCTTTTGGATATCGTCGGCTAATTCTTGCAGACATGAGACAGACCGAAGGGGTACACTTCCCGTAAGGTGTTGTTTCAGCTGCGAAATAGGGGATCTTTCAAACAAAGTTGTTCACAGAAGGTTGAGGATATTAAGAGCGCCTGTTGCTCTAGGTGACATATGTTGAGTGTGGGAACCTTACATATAAGGAATGGATAATGACTGCCAAAGTCACCCGAGGATACTGCACCAGGACATACATTGGCTTAGCATAAATCAGGACGCGGAACGGCAACTAGCTCCGAACCAGTAAATGTATTGCATTTTTCCCTTGATCTATAGACCGCTTGGGGAAAATCACTGTATCTCTTGAGATGTCTACACGAGAACACAGTGAGTGTAATACTAAAGCGGGATTCCTGTCTTTAAAAAACTCGTGGGAAGGTGCACTGCTTATGCTTTTGAGGGAGAGAGATGTGACGGTAAAAGAAATCGATTGTGAATCTGGTAGATGTATACATATCATTACCTGCAATTGGGAATGGATTTTTCACAAAAGGCGAAGCAGTAGGAGAATTACTACAGCCATTTCAGGTCTTCTAGGCCCTCACATTATTTTCCATCGATTTCCCATCGTGTTCCCTTTCCATCGATACAATTTTTCAGTCGTAGTCTTACGATCCTCGTTCATGGGAAGGGAGCATCTGAATCCTATTAACGCCAAAAAGTGCTGGAGTTTAGCCATAATGGAGCATTCAGTCAGATTTGTAGTCCCCCTTCCCTTGATCCCGGCAAACCTGATGTGGTTGTCGAGGGACGACGCTGGTTTCTTTTTTATTGCCTCTTCCCCGTTGTGAAAAGAATTTATTATAATGTCGTACAAGCCAGGGGAGGCCTCGGCCTGGCCACGCCCCATCAGCCTCTCCTGATCCCCCCCCACCGCCACCCCCAATCGTCTCATGGATGAGGCCTAATATATTGTGCAATGGCCCAGTCAGGATTTCATCGTAGGGGGGGCTGGGAGGAATGGGAGGAGGGGCTGAAATTTCCCTTGGCCCCCTTTTGCATCCTCTGATCCGCGATGTGATCAGGGGCACGCAAGAGAGCGAGAGACCCACTGAACCCAGTTATTAATGACAGAGGGATATTATGGTGATGAGTAAAAAAAAGCACATTGAGTGTCCTCAAGAGTGCGGAACTACTACTCTGTTTGATCTCATAGAGAAGTATGGAATTCATTTGAATGAGGGGAAAATCGGTCTGAGAACACCGAAGAGGAGGTTTGTTCTGCTGTAGCTGTTTCATCACGCTACTCACTCACGATGTCCATGTCTTGTGCACGTTTTGGATTGTATTGGAAAAACCCAGCTTCTGCCTTCTCTTTGTTTTTTTTTTTCATAGAGAGCAGAATAATAATGGTATATAATAATAATAACTCTATAGCCCAAAGTGGAGCATACGTGCCAGCCGTGGTGGAGCACCGAGACGACTTGCCCTGCCGAGGCCTCTTCCTCCTCCATCAGGGGATCCAGAGGCGCATCCGCATCACCCTCGTCCACGAGTCCTCGGCCGACCTGGTCTGGAGGGACGTCCGAGAAGTCGTCGTGGGTGAGTCGGTTAGGCGGTCGGAGAAGTGGATCTTTTGTCGAGAAGGTCGTGATTTTAATCACGGATTCTCGAGAAGAGCAGAATTCAATTTTTTCCGTCGCCCTAGAGGCGGAAAAAATAGAAACATTAGCATTGAAAATTAGTCAGTGTAATCACGATCCCTTTAGAAATTATGCTGATTAACGCTCTTGATTTTTCTCAACTTTGAAGTTGACCTTTTTTGTTCTTTTCAGGTCGGATTCGCACGACCCCGGAGTGTGATATAGAAGACGAAGAAGACGCGGCAGTGTTATCCCTGGGTCTGTTTTCCGGGGAATACTTGGAAGTGCCTGGGGAGGACCGGACGGTGTTCCGATTCGAGGCGGCTTGGGATTCCTCCCTCCACAATTCCATCCTTCTCAACCGAGTCACTCCTTCCTCCGAACATATCTACATCACCGTCTCTGCCTACCTTGAGGTGAGCGGTCGGTTGCGGATTCGTCTGTCGGACGGCACCGGGTCTGAGTTAGGTGGGTGTCGCGTTGCAGCTGGAGAACTGCGGTCAGCTGGCCATCATCACGAAGGACCTGTCGATGGTGATCTACGGGCGAGACGTCAGGACTCCCCGCTCTCTCCGTCGGCTCCTGTCCGGGAGCTACAAGAACGTCGAGACCAATCGTTTGTCCGGAGTCTATGAATGCGTCCTCAAACGCTCCACTGATGCAGGTAGTCCAGGTTTGTACTTTTTTAGCATGCTTCTGTCGACTGACCGCAATGATGCCCTTGCACATCTTAGTGATGGTGAGTCACGTGCATTTGAGTGCGTTTCATCGTGACTGTAGGCCTGTTATGGAAAATTATGGAGGTGGTCTTGCATGAAGAATAGGGATGTTCACGAGAAAGTGTGTCATTTTAGCCAGCAAATGCATTTGTTCGAGTAGATTAGAAACTGAATGGTAGTCGGTCGAAAAAAGTTAGTGTGAATCGCAGTCTCCCAGGAATCGGAATCCGTAAGAAGTTGTTTTGATTTATTCTTCTAAGGGCTGCAACGCCGACAGAGGAAGGTCCTGGACACGAGCGCCACCTACGTCCGCGGCGAGGAGAACCTGATCGGCTGGAGGCCCCGCGGGGACTCGCTCATCTTCGAGCACCAGTGGGAGCTGGAGCGGCTGTCGCGGCTGGAGGCGGTCGGGAAGACGTGGCACCAGTTGGTGCTGAGGGAGAAGTTGGGGGTCGATCCGAATCCCCTCTGCATTAGAAATCCCGAGAGACATGTTCGTTTCTTGGTGAATGTGCTGAGGGGCTTGCTCCCTTCGGATTTTTAATGCGGTTATTTTTTTTTCGCAGGAGGCAGCAAACTTCGCAAAGATGAGGGCGGCGTCGCTTCTCAGTCCCGATGAGGCTCCTTCACCAGCCATCGATCCGTCGATCTATCAGCCGTGGGAGATGAGTGATAAGGAAAGGGAAATAGCAAGCAAATATCTCCGACTGTTTCGTGGAGCTCCTTTGAAGGTGATCCGAGTTATTTCGATTAGAAGCACATTGCAGTTATGATATTGCAATCCATGTCTTGACGTTGTCGTTTTCTCATAGGATGGAGGCGCGAGCAGAACCAGTCCAAACGACGATGCCTCGGCGAATGGCACGTTGCCATCTCCTGTGCCTTCGCTAATGTACGTTCAATCATATAGCATAATCCATTTTGCATTTACCCATAGAATAACTTTTTTGGGAGGATTTTTTCCCCTGTGCGAAGTAAGTGGTCGGATTGGGAAGCAAAGTGAGAAAGAACTCTGCGTGGATATGTAAATATATTGAAAAGCAGATGACAGAGCACCTCTCTTCCTACACGCAGAACAGACACACTCCATATTGTAGTCTCTATCCCCATGCCTCATCAGAGAGGAGGATGTTGCATGTGGATTGGGTCCCCCTGTCTCTCGTCCGGCACGAGGGCAGCCCCTCTTCCATGCCCCATCTTGCCGATGGGGCATGGAAGGGCCATGCCCGTTTTTTCATTCTTGTGCGACTCTACTTTTCCTCTTGAATGAGATGAACTCGATGGATTCGATGGCATTACGGTTTCCAAAGGGTGTATCGTAAGGCTGAATCTTTTAGATCTTGAAGGGTGTGTCATACTTTTCGTGTCATGCGTCCTTTGCGTCAATGCTTGGGCAGGTAAGCAGACGCACGCGTGCCTTCTTACATTGGAGGGTTTTCACAAAACGCAAGGCTTGCGTTTTCAATCAAACACATGCCGTGTCCACACGCTACCCTTGCGTTTTGTGAAACCCTTGGATGTAAGTGGAATTGCGTGCATCTGCTTACCTGCCCAAGCATCGATGCTAAGGACGCATGACACGCAAGGTGTGAAACGCCCTTTACGCTCTTCATCTGACGATTCGTTCAAAGTTTCACACCTAAAAATCCCATTCTGCGAGGCCTGAGAGGCAGATTTGCCATGGCGATGGTTACAAGACTATCCCAAGCTCATTCTCGCAACTTTTTCGCGGTAGAGGGACTATCATTCTCTTTCCAAATATTTACGATATCTCCTTATCGCTTGGTTATCTCGTTATTAGAAAATTTCTCTACTTTATCATGCGGAGCACAGGGATAATGGAAATTTTCCTCTTTGGATACAGATACTCTCATTTATTGCGATGAAGGGAAAGTGAAAATTATGCAATTAGTTGTCCCTAGGAATAACATTGAAGTCTCCACTGGTGTACGTAGTGAATTTGGAATTTTATTTGCAGTCGCCATGCATCTCCAGAGCGTCCAGACTCCTTGCCCTTGACGGCACTGTCCCCATCCAGTACTGGGTTGTCACCCCGAGGTGAGAAGAACCCAGTGATCACTCGTACGTATGTTGAATCAAAGCCATTGGTTAATTTATACGTACCCGAAGTGGAAGAGATCCGACTGAGTCCAGTCATATGCCGTCGAGGATATCTCCATCTCTTAGAAGAAAAACGTGGAGGCTGGATGCGTCGCTGGGTGGTAAGTTTCCTCCTCTTTTGGTTCAGTTTTTAAAATGAAAATGTTAAAAATTGAATATCATTTTCCTGCAGGTGGTGAGGCGGCCATATGTTTTCATTTATCGTGATGAGAAGGATCGAGTGGAGAGGGGAGTGATAAACCTAGCATCTGCTCAAGTTGAATGCTCTCAAGATCCCCAGTCCATCATGCGACTGCCAAATAGTTTCAGGTTTGTCATGTAGAAGGCCTATGTTGCTTTTTAAATTCCTGTTACATTAGTCATTTCAGTACAATCAATAACACTGAATTTTGATGATTGATTCCAGTATTGCAACAAGGGACCGAGCCTACCTCGTTGCGTGTCAAAATGAGAGGGAGTTCCATGACTGGCTATATGCAATCAAACCCCTGCTTGCCGGGGAGATCAGGTATAGTTTACATTGATTTTGGGCAGACATTGGTGTTGAACGATTATTCTCATTCTGGTGCAACTTTCATACAGGTCAAAGAGATCAAGATCTCATGGCAGAAAAGGATTGGAAAGGGAAAGCAGCACAAGTAGCAACAGCAGTCCAAAGGAGATAGCACGAGTTAGCCCACAGGGTAGTTCTTGATCCCAGCAAAAGGATAATCCTAAATGTAGTGTGTTCAGTTGATCTGATAGCTGATCATCATTCAAACCAGTTTCCCCCCATCCTTTGTCACACCATCATTTGATCTCTGTTTGTCCTGTGATGAAAGCAAATAACATTTTATCTCCTGCCTAGTTGATCCAACAAAAAAAGCTACTCCTCAGTCGAAGTGTTGATGGGTTCGAGAATGGAATTGTGATACAATTGTTGTCAGTGAGATCCCATTCGCAGTCAACCAGTTCCCATACTGGAATAAGACATCAAATAATATATGTCTTCTGTTTCTTATTGCTTGTCTCATTGTAGACAGTCAGTCTTTGCAACTAATCTTTCATTGTACAACTTATCACTCATGTCCATCGAGCTTCTAGTTTACCGGAAGGGAAGGGAAGGGGAAAGGGAACATATCACAGTCAGCACAAAGTTTCAAGCCTCAAATGGAAACTCAACAAGGCTCAGTCTATTGAAACTGTAGCACTTCCTTGGTTGGTGTGAACTCGACAAAAGTCACTTGGAGGCATGGCGCTATTTCGGCAAGGCTCACCACTCCTACATGTCCCCAAGCAAGGACTCCTGTTGGAGCCACGGCTACAGAGACAGATCAAACCTTTGCATGAGAAACCTTAATCATTTTTATAAGGGGTCTAGTACCACATGAAGCAACTTCAAAAAATGAGAAAGAACTTTACAAACCTGGATGGGGTTGAACTCCTGCGCCCCTTAGATGTATCTGAAAGAAGCCTCTGCAGGAGGTCAGCTTTGGCTCCTGATATATAGGTCTGCAAGAAAATTATCCTGATGACTACCAAACACCATACCACATGTAGTCCTCATGAAGAATAATATATGCAGCTCACCAGATCAGGAGTTCTTGGAGCAATGCCAGGCAATGAACGTCTTGATGGTGTGAGCATGGGGTTGTTCTCACTTGATGTCCCTGGCTGAGATGGCCCAGGAACATGAAGATTTTCGGAGATTACATTTCTGGAAGGCCCAGGAATATTTAGGCTGTCTGAGATGACAGGCCTGGAAGGCCCATGAGAAGCACGAGGAATAGATTGCGGAGATGGTGGAGTGGAGTCAGGTGATGAGATATTCATAACCCTATTTGCAAGTATTCTTCTTTCAGGTATATCAGGAACAGCACCAGGAACCTTGTCATGCTTCTCTCCTTCAGCCTTTCGAAAGTGCTTGACCAAAGTTGAAAGCCACCAGACTGTCAACAGAAAAAATCCGCTTGATGACTCTCATGTAATAAAATATATACAAGCACTGGATGTGAAGAACTGGTCATACAAAACAGAGCGGCTCCGAGCAGAGGAATTACATTTTGTCGATACTGAATGGGAGCATCGGCAATGATGCCTAGGGCAAGCAGTAGGGTGAGTGGTTTAGGAATGTCAAAGAGGGAAGCCCCAATCAACAGCATCACCAGGCAGCCAACTGTCTGAACCAAATAATCCAGCTGGAACCCTGGAAACAATTTCAAGAAAAATCCCCTCATATAACTTAGATGGTACAAAAACAAAGACAAGGAATGTGAAGATTACCAATGTTAGAAGAGATATGATCCAGTTTCTCAGCCTTTTCTAGGACAAGAGCAAGGGAATGCATGGTCCCATTGATCTTCTCCAAGTCCAGTAGAGCCTTCTGATGTTGTTTTTGCATCTCCTCATTCATGAAACCTGTTCACCAAAAATCATAACCACATGATGATGCTGCACAAAATTAAAAAATCGACACCCTTGTGAGATGAACCAGCATGCTAGTTTTCAAAGGAAATTACTTTATGCACATATGCACACAAATGAACAAGCAATAGGCCTGCCTGACTGTCAGTGAAGGCAGGGAGTAGAAGTCAGTGTAAATAATTACATTTTAAAATTAAACCACTGCAGGCTACAAATACAAGGTTAGGAAGAACTGAAAGTGTCACTAGGAATTTCATGGAGTCACTGAAGCTAATGCTTGTAAGAAGAGGAACCCCACTGAGTATTACAGGATAAAGGACAGGGAAATAAGGAAAATATTCATCAGAGATCAGCTTTGCCTAAGCCAGTCGTGTTTCCCCTGCTCTCAGAAGAAAGTCAAGCAAGCAAGCAAGCAAGCTTCACATTTCCTAGCATGAGGGCTCATCATGGATTAAAACTTTGCTTTGAACTGGCAAACTGCAAAATGCAGAATATGATAGGCTATGATGATCTTGAAATAGTGTAGGAAACAAAACACTAGTGACTGATAAGCATCCTAACTGAATCTGAGGGCTGCTTCCTGAAGCTGCATCTGAATGCTGTGGACTGTGGAAAGGAGCTCATGATGACTTTTTTCTTGCTCCCCATCTCGCAATGCCAACTGGGTACCTGCATTCTCTGCAGAAATCAAAGAAAAACCATCAAGGGTAAGAACATGATCTATGTATCATTCACGGCAAACTTGGGGCCTCACAGTGTCAAACTCTACTCACCGAGTTTGGCCTGAAGGCCATGAGCCAAATCAAGGAGCTGATGTTGAAAGAGGTCCATGAGCATCTTCTCCTGACGGAGACCCTGAAGGCTCTGAGAGATATGGGCTGTGATGGCAAGATGTGCACTCTGAATCTGCCCCTGCTGTTGCAGGAACTCTTGTTGACCTTCTGATACCTTCTCAAAAGCTTCCTGGGTCACACCCTTAAGCTTCTCCTGCCCTTTCTGCATCAATAAATATTGACCTTACTCTACTTTCAATGCCATGATTCCTAGCTTAAAATCCAAAAATAAATTAAACTCAACTTAATTCACGTAGACACATCCGTACTGTGATCAAAAAGCCAATTTTATCTAGATGTGTGCTTGACATTGAGTAACAAAATGCTAATGGTACATTCTAGAATGTACCTTTAGCGTACCATGAAAAGCAGGTGCAGAGGGACAGGACATGATTTTGTGAATTTGTTATGCATCAATTTCAGCCTCTCAAGTGCAATGGGTTAGGCTAAATTTCAAGATAGAGCATTTCTAATTCCCACACTAATGCAAGCACATGTGAACATGATTTCCTGATTGGGCTTCTTGCTAAGGTTTATCAGAAGTAGGTGCAGTAGCATGCCCAGAAAATCCCTATTGGGGGGGGGATTGATATTTTAAAAATTGGTGACCCACCCTGCATATATGGGTAAAAAATTTATTTTTTGAGAATTGAACTTGTAAAATGTATCCCAAGGGGGTTGGTTATGACCCCCAAAACCAGCCCCCCCTTGGGCACGCCATTGAGTAGGCGTATCATCAGTTCATTTGTGGTCTTAGCCTCATTCTCTTTTGGAGATGATCGCACCTTCAATGATAGGCTTGAAAGAAATAGTTGACACAATAATTTTCTCTCCCTCTGTCCTAATCATCAAAGCATAAGCTCCATCAATTCTGTATAAGGTTGCCACCTTTGAATTTAACAAAAAATGGACAAATATTCAAAATATACCCACAACCACCTTAAGCCAAGGTGCCAATCAATGCTATGAGTGTGGTCTACAGCTTTTGATTTATAGAAAATAATGACATTAGCCGCTATTAAGCTGTATTAGGTAAAAAAAAAAATCTCAGTTTAAAATATGGACAAAACAGTGTCCTTATTAGGACCAGTTTGCAGTGTGGGGATTGCACCTGAAATATTTACTGTCCATACCAATTATGAATGGGTGGAAACCCTAATTCTGTACAGGTCACAGAAGCATTCACTGCACTTTGGTACTGGGAGTACATCATGCTCAAGCAGTAAGGCTCAGCCCATAACATGCTCATCCAATTCAAACATTAACCATGGTTAGAATCAGTAGACTCATAAACTGAAAGTCTCAAGAGCACATCACTTCCTTTCTAAAGTACATCATGAAGGCAAACCAACAAGAACACATAGGGAAGTGCCATGAACCAATTTCTAAGCTTAGGCCTTACTTTCTAAGTGACCTGAAAGAATTCACATGAAAAAACAGTCACTGCTTGGCTTCCAAAAAAAATTGCCTTCTCAGTCCTTACATGGAGATTCTCTAGTGAAGAGATTTGATTCTTGGCTGCATAAAAGAGATCATTCACACTCTTCTGAGTCTTCACTTGGAACTGGAACTGACGAGCAGTGTAGCAAACAGCCCTAGCCCTATTGGACATAATGTGGTAAGAGTTCCAGGCAGTTGAATCCATCCCAGATGTACACTCTCGAAGTGTCTGCAAGATAAGAGTAATTCATTCACTACCAACTGCAGATCAGTCGTCTTAATCAGCAAAGCCAGCCTCATGTGAGTCCAACTCTGAATAATAATAATCCAACAATAATGTACTAGACAGTAGGCCTAGGTCTACTTGGCGATTGAAACTCACCATTTTATCGGTGCAAGCATACTCAACCCTGCCCTCAATTCGAGACTGGCAGTTTAATAGCTGAACACTCAATTTTGAGATCTCCTCTTCTGACAGATCTTGGCATGACGTCTTCAACCGCAAAATTACCTTCAAGAACAGGCATGGCAAGGTCACTGCATCTGAATTTTAATGAAATGACGAAGAACTTTGATATGAAGCATGAACTGACCTCATGCTGGCACAAATCCAGTTCTGAAAGGGATCCAGGGGCAGATTCCTGCAGCATTTTAAGAAAGTCATCGTTTTTAGATATTGATGTGAACACTTCCCCGTCCACCACCTCGAACGGCGGATCCACGAGCTCATCGTCGCCAGCAGATGGCTGCAAATCCTTCAAATTAGACGCTGTTGGCTTGGAGACGACAGCCTTCGACTGGACTTTCTCGTCCTCGCCGAAAATCCACGAGAACAGGTCTCCGCGCGACGTTTGCACCAGAGCAACCACGAGGAGAAGTCTGAAAAAGCATGATTTCTTCACCCGAAATGACATAAAGCCAGGTGAACCCATATCACAGTTGGCAGCATCGAGGATCACACGAGGGCCTCCGAACGCACAGCCGTCGTTCACTCAAACTGCTTCTCGTGGGATGCCAAAAGGTCGAGGCTGACTCGACAGAATCATGTCAGGGTGAAAATCCTAAGGATGAGAAATAATGCATTTAAAACATGATGTATAAAATAAAATTTAAAGAATTTAGTAAAAAAAAATTAAAATTAACGTGATTTAAATATTTCGAGACATTTTACTGACTGTATATAATTTGGAATTTGGACAACTCTGAATCTGATATCTACTTGAGAGGGATCGCTCATGCGCCAGGCACAACGTCGAAGCGGCGGAATTCAACGCATCAAAGCGGCAAAAAATACGCCCATCCGTTGAATTCGCGGAGCAAACACCTTGATTATCTGCCTGCGAAATACATGTGACTTGGACGAGCCTCGACCTGACCAATTCAATGACGAGAAGTGCAGTGGGCCGTTATCCCCTTCGCATGTTGGAACAGCATGTCATCCTAGGATCACCAAAAGCCAGAATCTTGACAGGTAAAACATAACAATTGAAAATGTAAATCCTCGAACTGCTTGAATTGCTTCTGTCCAGGACCGGATTAAAGTGGGGGCAAAGGGGGCTGTTGACCCGGTCCCCACTCTTCCAGGGGGCCTCGGAAGGAAATGAACCCTTTCCCTGGCGTCGGCGTAGTTTTACGTCAACAACTTCAAAGTGTTCGGATATCCCAGCCAGGGAAAGAGTTAAAAACGTTATGTACACCGTTTCCAGATTGAATTCGTACCCCCCCAAGAGTGCCCTAGCATCGATTGCAGGTAGTGATCATCTTACATGAGTGGTTACGTCTACCACATGATGAAGTGGAACCTCTGTAAATGTGTGGTTCCTCCATTCTCCACTATAGGTGGGTGGTAGGAATTCAATCCGGAAACTGTATTTTTGTGAAGTAACAGATGTTACAAATTAAAATTTGCACCACCAGCGCTCGACTGTGTGGCTCCTCTAGGCTACTTGCACCACCAGGTATTATGTCTTAGGGGGGGCTGAAGCTCTCCTAGTTTTGTTCTAGCCCTAACCCCCCCCCATTTGATTGAATCCTGAGGCCTGTTCTTCACCTCTGCTAAATTTAATCTAAATCTTAATCTAAGCTTGATCAGAAAGGATTGCAAAAGCAACCAAGGGAGTCTGCTGTTCATCATCTCAGTGCGAAATAGACGCATGAGTACTCAGGGTATTGGGAGGGGGCTGTTGGAGACGAATCCGAAATTACCAATCAAAACCGGAGGATGGGATATCCATGAGTTGTGGCGCAACCGAAAGAGAGGGGAGGGGAGGGGAGGGGCGGGGCGCGAAGGGATTTCTCACCCCATCTTGTGACTTCTTGTGAAGTGAAACTCGTTTAAGACCTACCTCGCAGCTCATAAGATATGAATGTTTATGACATTTGTGTTCAAAGATCTTGGACTCCCATATGATATCGAACAATGAGAGTTCTCTCTCATCATCCCGATATTTAGACGACATTTAGACAGGGTCGGACCTGTTTAAAAATGTTCCCCCTTTTAAAATAAGTTTTAGCAATTGTTTGGGCAAAGGCTTTTTGCTTTTGGACTGCTTTTAGATTATATCAAGATTTAGATTTAGATTTAGACTTAGACTTAGACTTAGATTAAGTTTAGCAGAGGACATTTTATGCAAAATACATGGGCGACTAACGTAACGGTAGAAAAATAAGAGCAAGATGCCTACCATTGGATAATAAAAAAATTTTACTTTCACGACTAACTTTGAAACAAATGTTTTTCCGTCCAGGAAGACATCAGTGGTCCAATTGGACTGGTTTCCGGGACGAAAACCTTTGCAGTTCTGTTTCTTACTGATGGTAACTGTTAGTTTCCGTTTTAAGTTTTTTTTTGTGTACCGTTTCTCGTTTTCCGCTTCATATAAACCCACTCTAAAGGGGGAACTTACTGCGTTTGCTTTTGCATTGGGATAATTTTTTCTACATACTTTTTTTAATTGTTTTTTCCTCGTGCCGCTTTTCTGACAGGAGAGTGACGACGAGTGACAACTGACAGGTTTCGCGAAGCAACTATAGCACTTCTTGGAAATGGATTTCAACAACAAGATTCCCTTCAGTGATCCTCATTTTCTCTCCCGTCATAATCCGACACGTGTTCCTCGTTGGCTCGTCATTCTTCGAGGAAAGAGAAGGATTCTTCCCTGCCGATGGTACGAAACCGTGTCAGTTGGATTCAGGGTGCCCTGCCGTCGCCGTGCAGAATGAAGGTCCTCCTGCGATACAGCCTCTGTCTCCTTGTCCTCTATCCTCGGGGAAGCCTTCTAGGAGAGGGAGGAAAACCGAGTGGGACTTGCGCTTCCATCGCCCCACCTGCCCTCTCCCGTAAGCTTATTCCATCGTCTTGTTCAGTGAATTATGATCATTAAGGATGTTAATTGCCAGGCATTTGTGTGTTCGCTCCCCGTCGGTAGAGGTATTTTGCTTGCAGTACGCATCCTCATGGAAACTCATATTCTCAGACGGTTCCGAAAAGGCAAAAATAAAAATTAAAAAATCAATACAAGGCCGCAGAGGTCATGCAAACTTCGAATAGATACATGAAGAGGCGCTTTCGCCCATTTTGACGTCCCACATCAAGGTCGAGCGTCCATGCATTATACTGTATGATGGGTCTATCCCTCTTTAAAAAAAAAAAGAAATTTTTGTGGGAGCATATCCACGCAGTGCTTAGTCACTAAGAGCGATGCTCCCTTTTTTCGTCCCTCCGTATGACACTTACTATATATTTATATTGTTCCCATTTTTTTTGTTTTGGGCATCAAGCCTCAAGTTAGTCACGGTAGGGGTAGCTCGGGGTAACATCGTCACTCGCGAATTTCACGATCGCATTTCACGCATTATTTCCAAGTCATTTCCAGTCATTCCAAGTCACACTTGGGGTTTACGTAACTTAAACCGGTTTTCTCTTCTGCTGCTACCCTAGATTTGGAGGAATCTACCACGCTCCACGTTAACTATTCACTTGATGATCTTAGGAGCCTGAATGAGGTCCCTCTCGTTAGTCTTCTCTCGAGCAAGAGGAGTCCCAAAGTTTCTATGAAAGTCCCCGTACTTCTTCCATCATTTTCGTAGCCCTCCTTTGAACTCTTCTAAGCGCCGTTACATCACATATATTTGCAGTTCTCCAAAATTGGACACAACACTCTAAATAGAGTCTAACCAGAGCGCATATAATGGAAGCATAACGCGTACGCTTTCAGGAGCAATCGAATGCCTGATCCTTGAGATCCTATTGCAATTGGCTACTGTCGCCTGCGCCCGTGATAGGAACGAGTTTCTCATCTATCGCGATCTCCAAGTCTCTCTCCGTTTGCCTCCACCTGCTTATCCTCGCCGAACGCGTTCAGAGACCTATCGTTGGTGTGACCGATGTGGAGGACCTTACATTTACTCTTATCGAACGTCATGGGCATTTTTTTTATTCTCTACTCGTCCAACAGGTGTAAAGTCATCTCCGCTCTCAGTACAGGAAGCAAAGAAATCGTTGAGAATCCTATAGCTATGCCTTCGTTATTCCCAACTCCCTCCGGTCGTCCTCGGGAAGCCCGATCGAATGATCACTCTTACTGCTGGCATACCGATGAAAGGTCATCGGATTATTCTTAGCATTAATGGCTAGCCGCTCCTTCAACTCTCAGGTTCCCGATTTAATGTCTCGCTCCGAGGTTGCCATTTTGCCATTTTCAGGAAGGACTCGTGCTCCGATACAAAAGTTTTCAATCAAAAAGCATTTTTTGCACACTGTATGAGGATAACCTCCAAAGGATTTGACCTAAGGAGAGTGCGATAAATGTAGATTTTAATGCTAGGATGAGAATTTCCTCTGCTGAATTCCCCTTGGCTTCATCCGCTGGGATATCTGAGGCCAGTCAAGTTTCACTGAATCTAAAGATGAAGCACCTAGT